GCTTGTTCTAGCACGTGCAAAGAGCTGCTATTGAACAGATCCTGCTGAGTAAAACATTATTGCCACCTCCACCTTTCAGCACTACTACTTTACTGTGTATACATATACGTGGTATGTGTGGGTGGTTGCTCATTTTTTGAGAACATTTCCCCAGAGCTGTTTATTGGTTGTCTCATCCCTCCTGTGACCAGAAACAGAGAAATAGAGAAACCTGCATCTTGTATGAACCGTATTTGGAACATGCCATCCAGCTAAAACCTTGTTAAAAGCAACTTTGCAGTCATCACACACCATCACTTTGTCAGCCTTACTAGACTTAAGTCCTACCAGGACAACACTAAAACCAAAGGGGAAGAAGAACAGATTAACAACCCTCTGCAGCTCCTGCTGCTTCCTAACCCTGAATTAATCTGCTGCATCTCTCTCTCTGCCAGCTTGTCCTGGCCACAGCACAGCCCAGCTCTCCTGGCAGACTTGAGCTGCTGCAGCTCCTGCTGGCAGCTCTGTCCATTCAGACTGCAAATGCTTTTGTAGGAAAGCTGCAGACTGAACACGGAACGGCTCCTAAGTAAGACCTGCTCCACTGCAAAAGGTTCATTTAAGATCAGTTTGATTTATTTTAGAGCTTCTCACACACTCTGTTTTCCTGGGCGTTTGATATCTCAAGACACCTCAGATGTCCTCTTTTCAGCATAATTTAATGTCTGATTATAGTAAAAGAAAGCATGCATTGTCTTGAAGAACAGAAAAAGCATCACCTGGGGATTTCTCTAATGCTGAGAGAAAATAAATATTTCATGGCATGGAGTAAAAAGTCAGTCCCCAAAGTATATAATTGACAAGTAATTCTCTGGATTTGGTGCTTTCTGAGTTTTATTTAAATTGTTCCAACAGTGCAGCAATTGCCTCAGAGCTAGAGTTTGGCAAAGGTCTGCTTGAGGGAGGAGTTCTGGAGAGGAAGACATAATGATGCTGTCTCCAGTAAATATGGGTAAAAGCTGCACGGATCTGAAGTCAAAGCATACAAAAGATCACGAGAGGGGAAAAATGGCACCCATTGATATTCACTGACACTTGCCAAACATTTATGCAGACCAAAGAGTGGATGTGAGCACAGTGGGGCTGTGGGTGATGCGTTTCAGCAGTGGTGACAGCAGGTCACCTTCACTGGTGCAAATTTCTACAAGCATAGCATGCAGGCTCCTGCTCACTGCTGGCAAAAACACTCAGCTAATAGTGGCGACTATGCTGAAAAACAGTGTTTAGCAGATGAGAATCTGCTCTATCAAACAGCCTTACTGCACTGTTTGTACCTGTTCTTTCCATGGAAAGAAGTAGGAGGCATTACTTTCAGAGCAATATACATAGGAAAAGGTGCAGCATAGTCTCCTACTAAAATCACTGGTTGCCAAACATAGCAGACAAGAAGTACTTCTTGTTTTCTGCATTAGAATAACCCTTGACACATCTGCAGTCAAACCAGTGGCAGGAACTGCCCATGAAAACACGTATTTCAAACAGAAACATGATGTGGATCTAAAAAGGCACCAACAGCTCTGTAACACAAGATCGCTCCTCCATTCCTGTGTCCTGGCAGTTTTAGCCACTGCCTTCAGCAGTACAGAATAACCAGTCCAACGTTTGTTCTTTCACTACTGTGGCCCAAAAGAACAGAACATGACTTCCTTCTTGTACAGTGACAGGAGCTGTGCATAAGGTTGAAGTCTGAAGGGTTTACCTAAGGCATACAATTAGCAGAGTTACCCAAAGGTCAAACATACCTTCATTCTTATTGTGGAATGGAAGTTTGCAGAGGTCAGAGCTGGCAGCTACTGAACTAGCAGTTTTTGATGTGATACCAGCAATGTTGCTGCAAAATAGCTGCAGAAACCCATCCTGCCGCTGCTGCTCTACAGCCAAGCATCATCCAAGCCAAGCACTGAAACCCTGCTGCTACTAAATGTGATGACAAAACTTGTGCAAGATCTTAGCTCCCCAGCACACCCAAGGGCTAAGCATGTTAGAGAGCTGACAACTTATTCTGTTCTGCCACTGGAGACCCCCTGCCTGAGGTTTCCCAGACGTCAGCACCTGACAGATGCACTTGGGACACAGCATGGCTCCTTGAAGCATTAACTGACTCACCAGCACTTGTAACAAGCAACAGCAGATTCTTGCCCACTCACCACACACAGCTGATTCCAGTACATCAATGCTCAGGTGAAAGAGCTGAGCCCACTGAGGCACAAGTACTAACCTGCAAACACAGCTGTAGGAGATGCAGAAGCCCATCACGCACTTCTCAACTTCAGTGACCTCAGAAAGATCTGCAGAGGTTTTCCCAGCCCCTTCAGACATGTCTATCGGCCATAAAAAGAGCATCCAAGAAAACCCCAAACAGAAAAGCTACCACGAGAACATCCACCCTGTGCTCACCCCACAAATTAACATCTTCAATGAGCTCTGGTGAGGCTGGCTAAGTATCACGCCTTCCTGCAGGGTTATGCAACTTCGAGGTTACTTTTTAGGCTGAACTCTTCTCCAGAAGAAAAGCTCTTGGGTGACTGAATATTTTAGACTCCAACCCCAGACTTTCTGTGATGTGAAGGCTTCTTAGGAAGAAAAGTGAATCAAAGCCAGGACCGTGAGCCTCTTGCTGAATCTTAACAAGCAGATTCGGAATTCGAGAACATGAAAAGGGTTGTCCCTGAAGCCCAAATGAAAGAAGCTTTGGATTTAGAGGAGATTTTGATTAGGTTTTCATAAAATGATTTAAAATTATCTGCATAATGCAAAGAATATGCCAAGGTATAAATGCAACGTGATTGCCAGCGATGGCAAACTAGCAAACTGAGCCACTGAACACACGAATGCCTTAGGGAATTTAAGGCCAAGCTGAAGTAAACAACATACTTGCTGTAAATTGTCACACAAGTGAGCCACAGAACACCTTGTGGCATTACAGTGTAAGAGCAATTTGACTTTTCTCCTCCTGCAAGCTGACAGCAAATGGCATTGCACAGACAATTTTTAGGCTATGACATAGAAAAGCTGTTTAGAGTTACTGACAAAATGATTTTAAGTTTTTAAATTTCTCTTCTGACATGCAAGAGCTCAAAATCCATGATGAAACAACCCTTGAGCTTACTGCATTTCATTCACAGGGAATCAAAGCAACTTCTCTAATCGGTGCAACAAAGAAGGGATAAGAGAACAATATACTGAAAATGTGTACTAACCATTGAAAATGAACTGCTACAGATCCAGGCAGTAATTGTTGTGGGGGCTTTGATGTATGAAGATGATGCTCTGTGCTACAAAGTTCACAATGTTCTGTTACTTAGCATCATAGAATCGCTCAGGTTGGAAAAGACCTTAAAGATCAAGTCCAACCACAATCCAACCATACTGCCCTAACTCTAACAGCCCTCTGCTAAATCACGTCCCTGAGCACCACATCCAAACAGGTTTTAAACACATCCAGGGATGGTGACTCAACCACCTCTCTGGGGAGCCTATTCCAGTGCTTAACAACACTTTCTGTAAAGAAGTTTTTCCTGATTTCCAACCTAAACTTATCCTGGTGCAACTTGAGGCCATTTCCCCTCATCCTGTCACCAGTGAGAAGAGACCAGCCCCGCTCTGCTGCAATCACCTTTCAGATACTGGAAGAGATCAGTAAGGTCTCCTCTCAGCCTCCACTTCCCCAGACTGAACCAGCCCCAGTTCCTCCAGTCTGCCCTCATAAGGCATATTCTCCAAGCCCTTCACAAGCTTTGCTGCCCTTCTTTGGCCAAAAATTTCATCTACTGCATGTTCACAAATAGTCTGCACCATTTTTCCCCCCCACAGATAACTGTATTTTTGTGACAGCGTATTACTGCTATTTTTAAAGAGATCTATTCTGTAACCATATGAAGTAGATCGTAGCATTGCTAATGCACCTAAATTTGGGTGGATAGACACATGGACAACAAAAGCACATATCAGATTAGGAGAGCAGCTCAGTCAGCAGCCTGGGGGATATCAAGAGTATCATGAATTAACATAAATTGGAAATCCAGCTTTTTATAATATGTGCTATTTTAAAGTGTATCTACATCAAAGTAAGGTAAAGAAGAACTTAGAGGTGTTCCAGTTTTACAGTTCTGTATTAATATGGCATTATGTCAAGACTTAAAACATAGAATCATACAATTGCTCAGGTTGGAAAAGATCAAGTCCAACCATAACCCAACCACACTGCCTTAACTCTAACAACCCTCTGTTAAATCATGTCCCTGAGCACCACATCCAAATGGATTTTAACTACTTGTTCAAACATCATAACCCAATGGTAACACAATGTATTTCCACAGAGACTAAAAAATTGCATCTGCAGTCTTGAAAAGTAACTTTTCAAAGGGTTGCCTGTATCTATTTAATTTAATCAGGGAACATTTTGAAGAGACCACACTTTCCGATGATGTTTTCTGAAAGATCAGCTTTGGATGTTGAAGTTAAAAATAAAGGTGTTTTTGTTAACATCCAAAGAGACTTATTTAACTTAACTCTTTTGAGTTCCTAAGAACAAAAGAAAATCTTCAAGGCCTCATTTCTGAAAGGCCAGATTTTTTTCTGTGAAGCCAAACAACACTACTACACTTCTTTTATAAGTATTAAGGTCTGCTGCTAACACTTAAAAGTCTCTGCGTGGGTTCAACATGGCACAAACCTAGCTGCACTGTGAAGACTGAGAAAGTGAGCATTTTCTAACAAACTATGAATGTGTAGCCACACAAGTGAGGTACGATCCAGAAGAATGGAATTAAAATTTAACAAGTTTGTCAATCTAATATGTAATGCAGAACACCAGCACCTTCAAATGCTCAAGTAATCCCACGTCAAGAAGTCAGATTCCTCATGGATCTCAAGTTTGCTAGTAAGAATTCAAATTCATTAGTTTTTCTTTACACAACCATGATACGTTGCCAATCTGTGAAACACTTAAATCTTCAGACTGTTTTCCTGTCTTTTTATTTTCCTTCTCAGTTCCACAGTTAAGTAAAGAATAAGCTGAGCACAGGAACAGCGAAATATGAATTGTGTAACAAAGCGCTACTAAGCAAAGGTTTTCACATTTTCCCTTTCCAGAAGGGAAATCCACTAAGCAGGATAACTTACAGAAATCAGTTTTAAATCACATTCAGAATTATTTACAGAAATGATGACTAACAGAAACTACAGTGGCTCCTAACAGACTTGGTGTCACAGACGGGTAGGGAGAGCTAGGGGGCTGCTATTTCTTCATCTCCAGGATTGCACTTCCTGGTCCTCTGTGTTTGGCACTGCATATGTTGCAGAACTGGACAGAAGATACCTGGAAATTAAAAAGAAGACAAGTGTCTCAGACAAATATAATCAATTCATCATGAGAAGATGAGTGAAAATTGCTACTGTTCATCCCAGTGTTACTATTCACATTCAGGCCTATCGACGAAGTCATGGATAGGTTTAGGAATGTGACAATGCTGAATAGAATAAAGCAGGTTATTCTGGAGTCAAAGGGCAGAATTAAGGAAATTCAAACGGGTCATATTCCCTGCACTATTCAAAGTTGCATCATATATTGAAAATTTAGACTGAAGAATGTTATAAAACTTCTCAAACAGCAGCAATTTCTTTCTAAACTGGATACATTTTGCTTGCAGCAGTCTGAAATATCCTTTCCCTAGTCATATACTATTACAAAGTGCCATCAAAAATAATAACTGCAATCACAAAATAATCCCTGATAGAACCATGCCCTTCCCCAAAGATGAGATAAAGAAATTGTCTTCTTGTCTTTGGCAGAAGTGACAGAGATTAAGATTGGTTCCTTACTGTGTTAGATACTGGGAGACATTCTTTGTGAAACATGTGTCTGCAGTGGAACACCACCACGTTGAAGGACTTGGATGCATCTGGGAAAGAGAAAGGTAAATCCGTTACAAAAGGGCAATGGAACAAAGGATTTGGGGGCTACAGTCATAGCCCTGTTTGATTACACACACACAAACACCAAGTCATACCTTTATCACATTAATTTTACAAGTTATTCTGTCGTATTTATAGAAATGATGCAGGATGATGCTATCAGGTAGTGTGTCCTAGTGGTGAAGTTACACAATGATTTTATTCTGATTTTTATTCCTTATGATTTTATTAAATGATGTACACATTTTCAACTGAATTTTTCAGGTTAATATGTGCCACATGTTAAATCTAGGGAGGGCAAAGGATAATCTACCCCAAAGAATTCAGTCATTTTGAAGAAATACGAACAGAAACCACTCTTGCATTAGTGAAGGAAGAACCAAAATATTGAGTATTACTAGAGTTTATGCTCTCAGGACATAAGCTTTAAATGTGGCAATAAGCTGTCTAAGTGCTTCTTGATTCATGAATATTTAGCCCAATTAGAAACATTCAAAGAACTTTCACCTCACTTATCAGATACACCCATCTCTCAGGGCGCTTGCATGTCCAACTCTGTCAGGTCTTCTAGCACCAGGTCTCTGTTCTGGTCTGTATGTTGGTGCATGCAATCACAGTACAACTGTATGTATTATTTTTTTCCTTCTTTTAAGCAAAAGATGGTAGAAACAAGATTAAATAACTGGAAAAGATTTTATTCAGCTATGCAAACAAAGAATAGTTGCATCCAGATAGTTTGTCTTACATTTTCTTGTGTGAGGATGCTGGGACAGACACTTGCCTGGTCAAACTACTATTTCTTAAGATGCCTAGCACCTATACTGACATTCCTGAAATTAGTTCCTTTGCATAATGTACACCTTCAAAAATGAGATACTGAATTTCTAGTTTCAAGACTAACTTCTGAAATGTTTTGAAGTGTTGTAAGAAGTATACCACATGCAATGTAAGAAGTGTTGTAAGAAGTATACCTACAATTTCAAAGCAGGAAGTAAAAAAATCACACGAGTAAAGAAGAAAGTAAGTTGAAAGGTTCAGATTAGTCTCCATTCCCAAATCAGAATTCATAAGCAAGCTTTGCACAAGAGACCAAAATTTATACAGTGATTATCAAGGGAGAGTATTACACATTTCTCTGAATAGCAGCAAACTGTAGTTCCTTTAAAAACAAAAAATAGCCTCTTTTTCTTCCAGAAAAGCATCCTACCTGCAGGAAGTATTGGAGACAGGCATGATTCACAAATATTTTCCTCTGGAAAAAGAAAAAAAGGAAATAAATCTCTAACATTTTGTTAACAACCTCCATGTTTGTTTTATTTTTTAAATAAAACAGGTATTACACATTGCAATCACAGAAATTGATCTCGATCTTAGAGTATTTACTTAAGATACTCATCACAGATTCTCTGATTTTTGTGCAGGAAGAAGCAGGAGCTATATCAATATCAGAGCAGTAGAGGCATAAGGCAAGCTCAAATAAAAAAGGCAGCATAACACGGGTTCCTGACTTCTCTGCTGTATTTTTCCAGCAGAAGCTCTGATCTTCTGCCTTTCCATCACTCCTGGTATAAACACACATCTTGCATAAATCACAGAACTGCTCATGCACATCAGCAGAGCCGCACAAAATATTTCCAACCATTTTTAAAAACTACCTTGTTGCAGGATGTTATTACCTGACTACCTGTTTTGGCACTGAAAAGCATTTTCCACCTTTACAGACAAATTGCAGGATGCAACATATTGCCAGCAATGCAGAGATTGAACAAACAAAAAGCTACATGACGGATCTCGTCTCTACAAATAAGATTTACGCTCTACAAAAAAGAAGTAATACTCAGGTTTTCTAGCAGCTTTCAAAATGGACTGTCACATGGCTTAGGTCTATAGCAACAGAAAAGACTTCAAGTCACCACGTTTCTGCTGTACCCACCATCTACCAGAACGCCCTTCATCTGAGTTCGATGCATTTTCTTCAGCAAAGAAAGAGAGTCAGCAACAAGAATCTTCTTGCAACCTTCCCGCAGCAAGATCTGTTTTGCAAAGAGCACAAAGTACAGCAGTTGTTAAATGGGTGGGCATAACCATCATCCCAGCAAGCCACCTCTGGGTTTCTGCTGCTACAGAGAGAACAACAAATGTTTAAGCCTTTCCAAGATATCAGACCTTCAAACAGCGAGGGAAAAAAAGGATAGGAGGGAAGGAATCTCTACTGAAATGGAAAAAAACTATTAAAAAAAAAAAAAATGAAAGACCTCAGAAAAATCAAATCCTTTGCAAATATATTATCGTCATAAATAAAGATCATCTTCCCATAAGCTTCTCCTAACAGAATACAACGGAGGTATTTCTTTACACTGCCCCTAACAATTGGATTCTAAACCACTTGGAAACTTCCTCCATTCATATCTTCCCTGTCTATGTCAGGAAATAGATATGGTCATCCTAAAACCTTCAAAACCCAACAATTTAAAATTTATTTTGTTCATGCATTTCCTGCTCAGATGCCATTCAGCAAGCCACACTTAAAAGCCCACGCAACTAATCAAAGGTTAGACCTTGTTCATCCTTAGCAAAAACTCTTAAGAGTGCTTTTTTAACTGTAGTATTTTATGTCAGATTCTTATTGTCTGCCAGTGTTGTGACACACAAAAAGAGAGAGATCTCTGGCATCAAAATTGCATACAGTACTATTTCCCAATGCTTAGTGAAGAAGGTTCATGACAATATGACAAACCCAAACAAAGGGTTGTCAGTTTTCTTGCTCCCACCCCACATTCAACCAATGCTTGGAAATTTGCTTTCCAAGACCAGAATTCTTCTGAAAAGTCTTCTGAGAAAGAGAGATTCATAATCAGTTTTAAGCTGAACAAACAAACAAACCAAGGGAAGTGTTAAAGAAGGCAATGCCTATTTGTTTCTCCAGATTATTTGCACTGCAGGAGGTAATGAGCATTAAACCAGACCAGGATGCTGCCAATGCAAGTCTCTAAAAAGAAGTATAACAATAGGTTTTACAGCCAGGTGAACACTATCCAAACCCTCATCTTCGTAAATACCACTGTGAACTAAACAGGACTTGCTGCCAGAGTCATTATGCAATTAAGACTGTGTATCTGAAATACATGAATAAAAAAAATAAATTGATTAACATCAAACATTTTAAACTGGGCATGCCAGTGGGTAAATGGTATTCTCCAGCACTGGACACAGCAAGTTACAAAACACTTCTGAGCTCAAGAAGCTGAATGCAAACCAAACACTTAGAGAATTAATCAATTTTATGTGTGATAGTCTCAGCAGCTATCTGAATATGCTCTTCCCCTTCCAACTTTGCCCAAGGGCAACACAGAAAGGCAAATTTTATGTTAAGTAAAGGAAAACATCACTAGATTAATAAAGAAATACTTAGAAATTTTTTACAGCAGCAGCTGGACAAGACCATCTTTCAGGATGAGTGCTCTGACCAATGTGGAATATTCTCAAGCAGCAAACTCTGGCAAAGGTAGGTAACTAATGCAAAATGGATACGGTCCTCTTTGGCTATCTACTGGAGTTTTTGCTAACTGCACTCAGCACAAGCAGATAAAAAATTGCATGTTTAAGTAAAAGGACCCAAGAAAACATTGCAAATGGTGGAATAGAGATACAACGATTCACTACTTTCTACTTAAAATACAGAGTGGCAATAGGAAAACTTGTTACAAAAAAAAAGATTGAAACAAAAAAGCACCAAAACATCAATTATGTCTCATGAAAACCTCAACACTACTTGATCCTTTAAAAACAACACAGAGGAAACAGAAACATGTTACAAGGCATATGCAGCATCTTCTCTGTGACAGTTAAAACTCCACTAAGACTTTGCACACAATATTCAATGACTGATCGTCAGACTTTATTTTTATTACAAGTGGAATACAAGGTGCAGCCACCATAATGTAGAAGGAACTTGGAATGATGGAGGTGAAAGATAAAATGTCAAGGCAATAAATCAATGCTTCTGTAGAAACACATTTGAAGAGCTCAAGGAAGAGATGGACAATATAAGAATTGTAGAAAGAGAAGTAAGAGAGGGATTTTGGAGATGAGACAGGGAGAAAGTGTGCTTGAATGAATTTCTTTGTATTAAAAGCAGCGAGAAGCATTTATCTGTGCCTGAAGATTAGACTAAACTTGACATCAGATGTAAAACTGTAATGAAACCATTCTCTAAAGAAATGCAGTAAGAAACAAAAAGTCTTACAAAACAATTTTTTTACCCTTTAAAAAGTGCTGTAAATGCAATCAAGACACCATGGTAAGTTTAGAGAAAGAAGTTTTAAATGGATCTGGTGCTTCACCAAATTAATGAAACCATCTGCAACCAAAATATTTATTGCAAAAAAAAAAAAAAAAAAAAAAAAAAAAGAAGAAGAACTGGAGTTCATTCTTCGACAGTAGAAAAGGTGCAGCTGCACAGTTAAAATCACAAGCAATGGAAACTACTATTCATGTAGGTCGCTCCAAAAGTAATGCCTCCTATTTATTTCCACGGAAACTACAAGAGATACAATGAGCACAGTAACACCATTTGATACATTCTCAGCTACAAAACACTATTTTTCAACATAGCCACTACCATTAGCTATGCATTTTTTGCCAGTGATGAACAAGAGCCTGAGTACTGCACTACTAAAAATCTGCACCAGTGGAGGTGGCCTCACCTGTTTCACAGCTGCTAATGATGGTGTAATTGCTAGGAAAATGTTGCACACAGTCCATCTTTCAACAGACTGAACAGATGGAAGTCAGAAGGTGCCAAATCCAGACTATATGGTGGGTGTGGTAGGACAGGCCAGCCAAGATTGGCAAGGTGCTCCATGGTCTTTCAAGTGGGATGGGGTCTGCTGTTACCATGCTGCAAGAGAAAGGCTGTCTTCTTCTCTGGCCTGACCCTGTAAGCTTGAGCCTTCAGCTCAGTCAATGCCTTGATTTAGTGGTCAGAGCTGATGGTCTGTCTGAGTTCCTGAAAAGTCCATAGTGATCACCCCTGTCCTATCTCTAAAGACAGTGCATGTAACTTTACCTGCTGAGAGCTGCATCTTGAACTTTTTCTTTGACGGAGATCCCCATGTCACCACTCCATGGACTGCAGTTTTGATTCTGGCTAATAGAGGTGGCATCATGTCTGCACACCATGTGATCCAGAAAATTGTCACCTTAAGTCTTATTCAATACGTTCTGATAAACCTGTATATGGTGTTCTTTCTGTTCCTGTGTGAGCATTTGTTGGATTCACCTGTGCAAACTTTGCAGTATCACAATGTTGTCATCATTGTTTCTAATGTGCTGCAGCCAATATTCAGTTCTGTACACAGTTCCCTGGTTGTAATCTTGCTGATTCATGTGGTTTAGCTGATCGAGATGCTCTTCTTTTTGTTATGGCAGCTGTGCATGGCTGTCTGGAAAATGGGTTATCTTTCAAATTGCTGTGCTGTCATTCAGTGTTTTGTCTCCAAAAATATTGAGCAAGAGTTGATGAATGTCTACAGGTGCAATTTTTTTCCACACGGAGGAATTCAATTCCACACCTTTGTTTCAGATGCACTTTCATGTCAGAAAGCATTTTGTTGCTGTGCTAGAGATGGTCCCTCTGCTGCCATCTGTAGCATGGCAACAAAATGTAATGGAAAATTCGTGGGAGGGTTCAACCTCTACTACCACACCAACATCTGCTTCCAGTGCTGTGGGACAGGGCCATAAAAACACATTACTTTTGGAGCATTCTTCGTAATTAATAAAGTCCTGATTTGCATATGCTTAACATTACCTTTAAAGGAAAACACTGCAGTATGCAGTTAATTTGAAGGTTATACTCAAAGCACGAGGAATACATTCGGGCCAGCACTCAACAAAGCCCAGGTTTCTCCAGGACAATTACCCCAAAATCTCCAAAATGCATCATTACCCCAGTGAAAGGTATGTTACGTTTAGTTACAGAATCACAGAATGGCCAGCGTTGGAAGGGACCTCAAGGATCTTGAATCTCCAATCCCCTGCCACATGCAGGGCCAACAACCTCCACATTTAATTCCAGACCAGGATGCCCAGAGCCCCATCCAACCTGGCCTTGAACACCTCCAGGAACACATCCACAGCCTCTCTGGGCAGCTGTTCCAGCACCTCACCACTCTCATAGCAAAGAACTTCGCCCTGACATCCAACCTAAATCTTCCTTTCCTGAACTTAAAACTATTTCCCCTTGCCCTGCTGTTATCTATCCTTTCAAAGAGTTGAAAAAGAGTCACTACAACCAAGTGGGGAGTGTCTCACTATGCAAGCTGCCACCCGTCCCTAGTGCCTCCTAGATGTCTGAACAGCTGCATATCTACATCCAGGAGGAAACCCTAACAGATCCTCCAGATACTTTCAACCAGCATTCATTCATCATTCCCACTGGTGTCTGCTGGTTCACAGCAGAATGCTGTGAATGGGAGAATTATGGATGGACAGCCTCCATCAGAGGTACTGCAGGTTCAATCAAAGTCTAAACCAATAACTCATCATCTGAGTAAAATGGCTAACCCACAAAACCTAGAGATACTGAATCTAACCAAACTGCTTTTAAATTCTAAGACCATTGAGTATATTTGGGGAGAACAATGTAAGAATACCAAAATCTTTTGAAATGTTTTACTGAAAACTGTCAAAAAGAGGTTGAAAAATTAGGCGTGTTCTGGAATAAGGGAGGTGTTTAAATCTCCAACTACACAAGCATTTCTTGTATTTCACTTAGGCAGACTCTTATAAATTCAGAAAATGTAACAGACATAACTAACACAGAAGTAAACAAATAAGGGACATTTAAGATCAGCCTTCTCTGTGACAAATAAGTGTGATGCAACAACTATAGAAGACATGGGCTGTAATTATACAATTTGTTTTAAGAGATGTCTGTTTATTTTAAGAAATGCTACCAGATTCCTTAGTTAAGACCACTGAGTTATCAGTTACCAGAAATTTAAACACACAAGATTTCATATTTTTTTTCAATTTAATTCCCAGGGAACTGAATATTGAAGGCAAATACAAAGTTCAAATACACATTACAGAGAAAATAATGAGTTTCGGTCCAGAGATGATGTATTAAAAAAGCCCCAAGAAACTAATTAGCATCAGTTTCATTAGAAAAAAATATATATACATTGCACAGAGATCATGGTAAATGTTAATTTTGGTATGTTTTTCAAACAAAAGCAATACTGGCCTCACACTCTTTGCTAAGAGATACTTTAAAAATTTGTACTGCAAAAACACTAATGGGAACAGAAGACCCATATGAGTCTCAGAAGAGACCTGTATCAGAAACAACATCTGCAGTGTGTAAAATAAATTACCTAAGAACGACAGTATTTTCTGATGCAAAACAAATCTAAACTGCTTGTATCCCCTTAACTTAAGGGGCTCAAAACAGGCAAACTCCATGCCTACATAAGCAAGTAGCACATTATTTGCATTTTTAGAATGGTCTTCAAACAACCACAGCCTTTGGCTGTGAGGGTATGAAGCTGGTATCCAAAAAGCCTAAATGGGTGACAGCAGCCATTGACCTGTTCTCAGTCCTGCCACCCTGAAACGTGAAGAAGAACAACATGCATCAGATGGAAAAATCTGTGTTAGGAAGTGTCTTCTGATAGGAGTTTATACATTACTGACTGAAGACAGGCTGGACATCGTAGGAGAAAACATTCTCACATAGTCAAACATTTCACTATTGCTGAAGAGTACCGGAACTTCCCCAGGTTCAGAACTGATTTTTTTCTTGTTCTTCCAATGAAGAAGATGTTGTTGTAGAGGAGCTCCAGTTAAATACGGTTTGTCTCCAGAAGATTATCAAAAAAGATTCTATTACAACTGAATCCTAGCTTTCAGCAAAAAAACATACTTGTAATTTGAAGAATATAAAAGGACTGTTGGATGAAACAAAGGTCATAGAGCTGGCAGGTGCTCTTATCTACGTAAATACAACATCAGTTTGCAAAGTCACACTGACAACTTCTCAGTTATACAGAGATAGCTATGTTTTGATTCCATGTTTTTGAAAGCACTTCTAAATGCAAGCAGTAGAGTTGAAAACCATGAAGCTTTTCTCAGGATATCAATATAACTTAGGCCAATTTGGTTAGCCTGCCATGGATTTGAATGATAACTAGTTACAGTGAAAATGTTGACTGGAGAAAGGTGATTTATTTGCTGTTGAATAGAAGATGTGCTAGGAACATGTCAGTTTAATAAACTGCAGGTTCCTCTTTAAGACTGTAAGCTTATCTTCAGGACTTTATAAATTCAAATGAAGTAGCTCGTGGTCTATTTCATCTATAAATTTATGGCACTGAAGAATTAGATTTCAGGAGATAGATATAAAAAAAAGTTTTAGATTACACTTACTTGATAAATATTGTTAAAATGCAAACAATTATAACTTTATCTTTACAGCCCATGTCATCGTAACTTTGTCTATGAATGTTACTGCATATAAACACTGAAATTGCTATGATGGTTATGGTTTTAATACATTAACTTTGATAATGACAAACAGAACAGAACAGAAAATGTTTCTCAGGAAGGGAAGAAAAACCAAAAAAGGCAATAACCACTTGGAGTTCGAATCCCAATTCAGAAAAGCACTCACATGAGTGCTTACATCTTGCACTGTTCAGGTAAATTCTGAAGTCTGTACTCAGCAATGCAAAACTCATGATGCAAAACTGCATTTCCAGAAATGGGAAAATAAAAAAAAATAAAAACAGATAATTCTTATAAGAATAATATAAGGCAGCTGAACAGATTCTCAGCTGTAAAGCACAGCTGTAAAACCATGCAGAAATAAATCAGTAATACTCATTTGAATGGATTGTCCATGAAGAGATAAGTCTCACATTATCTGCACTTTTATAGAATACCTAATATCTCTTTTAGTGTCATTTTTGTTTGGTTGGCAGCAAATGTACTAATCACAGGATCACACCCTTCACAAAACTGTGAATTATTCACTTTAAAGCTGTGGTGAGCTTAGGGTAGCACATACAGTGGTTGCAGCATTCATGTAAGAGATGGTAATAAGTTGAAACGAAGAAATCAATCTACAACATGCCAGCTTTGATAAAAACTTACATTATTCAGGGAAGATGTCAGATTAGAGAGATATTAAAACAAATTTTGTTACATTAATAGACTTATTTGCTGGATTCACTAACACACTGTAAGCTACATATGGCATGCTTTGGCAGCCATTCAATTTAATTCACTTGATTTTGTTGGGATGTTAAGAATGTTGTTTCAAAGAGAAAAAGTCTAAGCAGACCTGCTTTTAGACATACATAAAATCACATCTCGTGGAAAGTTCACCACAGAGGAAATTTAGGAATATAGTAGGAAATCTGCACTTGTGTAAGTACTAAAATAATCTTACCAAGGCTTGCAAATGAGGTCACAGTCAAATAATATAAAGGCCCAGGTGCAACACCTTTTGGGGGATCTGATGTTATAAAAAGATCAGCATGGTTTTCTTATTTGGCAGTGACTTGCAAGTGAAGCAATGGGTTATAAGTATGCTCAACCTCTGTGGATCTAGAAATAAGATTTCTTTTTTTGTCTTTGAAAATGGGAATAGTAAGGCTTGTGCACATACGGAGCTGGTGATCTGAAGGGATGAAATCACACAAAGTCCTAACCAAAGAAATCTGGATTGCTGTACAAGTTTGAAGTGTCTGGTACATTATGTGATACAAATAAGGAAGTTTTTACCAAAATGAAAGGAGTTGTCCCAGGCCAGAATAGAGAACACAGATTTCAAACCACAAAGCCACACAATGTGAAGAAAAGGTGTGACCAGGCATCATGCAGACAGACAGAGACTAGCTCTGAAGAGGCTAATGACACAGTAGTCATGATGAAGCTAGGACAGAACTGCCCTCAGCTAGGAACAGCCACTTAAAACATCTACTTGAAGTCCTAGCTGTTTCTTGAAGTATGTGCTGAATGCAGAAACAGTTCTGTTAACAAAACTGACCGTGCCAAATTAATGCTTCTTAGGTGAGTGTGCACCCAAGAGCTGCCATCACATCTCTGACACCATCTGTTTATAATGGTGCACTTTACATTGCCTGTACCACTTCAGGAGCAGCCTTATTTTAAGCTATAGCTCATAATTCTCAAAAAAAAACAACCAGTCCCTTAAGTAGGCCTCTTAATTTCTTTTTTTTTTTTTTTGCTATGTTGTCATGCTATAGTGCCAAAAATCCAAGCACAAGTTCCATTAAGCTTCCTAATTCCTACTTCTCCTCAGAGATATAAATTTTAGCCCTTGAGCTACCCAGACCTACTTCAAAATGAATTAACTTAAAATCCATGAAGCATTTCAATTATAAGCACATAAAAAAAATTTAGATACTGGTCTAGAAGTAAGCAGTGCAAAGTAATTTTGTTAAAAGCCGTCTGAAGAGAAAATGATTCTTCCGTTCACAAAATGTGACCAAGTGATTTTGTCAGCTTTATCTGAATCCCCTAACACACGCTGCATGTATGCAAACAGCACTTTATCACTCTCTGTGCAGAGGTACACAATGTTCCATTTTGATTTCAACAGAATGCAGGAACAGTGGGATCAGCAGTTCAAGCAGCAGGGAACTGACAGCAACAAGATCAACATGCAACTGCTTAAAAGATGCACGCAATTTTACTAGCATTGTTTTGGAAAGATAGTAATATCTAATGAAGTCTATAAAAACCTGCAAGCAATGCTACAACCTGCAGTACATGCAAACTTGCACCTGTCTGTTGTGGGTAACTCCTTCCACAAAACAGGAACAAGATACTTAATCTCTCAGAAATCCTTAAAGTCACGATCTAAAATACCCAAATCATCCAAGTCTTTCAAAAATTCTACTTACTCACCAGGCTTATGACAGTATGGGAGAGATTCAGAAGAGGCAGAAGCTATCTAGAGAAAAAAAGTATTCATCTGGACAAATTTCTACCCTTTCTGTCAAGGTTTCATCCCAACTCCCTGCGATAACGATATCCTAACAAGATGAACAAACCTAGGTGACAAGCATTTCTTGTGCTGCTCACTGGTGAAATGGTCTTTGATGTCTTTCTGAAAATCTTCAGAGGAAGAGCACAACATTTACCTGCAAGTTGTAGTCCTGAAGAATTTTCACTAGCGAGTCTCTCAGATTAGGAATCTCCATGCCTTCCTTAATACGATGAATCAAAAGAATGGGGTCAACATGAGTTCCAATATTGTTCAACAAACCAGTAATAAAAGCTGTGAAAAACAGGAAACAAGTAAATTAAGAAAAAAAATCCATCCACCTTCTTAAAGGATGCTTCAGTAGCAGACAGGCTTTGGTTGTTTCTATGACAGCTCTTTACAGAGAGAGCACTAAACCACTTTTACATAGCCTTCACATCTTTCTTCCAGCTGCATTTACTTGAAAATAGGTCTTTTGGGAAGATAAAGACACAGTTTGCCTATTTACAAATCTCCAGGGCTATTTGGAAAACTGATACCAGAGTAGCCAGAGCAAGTCATCAAAACCACAAGAGAATAACACATTTCAATTCAGTAAAAAGGCACTTGTACAAGAAGAAGTAGAAAATTCACTTCATTGTTTGAATATTCTATTCTAAATTGCAGCATTAAGAAGTGTATTTGCAAACACTTAACTTCAAGGAAACGTGTTTCTCAACAGTGACAAGATGGACACTAATGTCCAACTTCCTGAAATGCAACTGGCTAAATGAAACAGAAGGATGAACTTCCAATAAGACAGAGCTGACCTCAAGGGCTCAATAACATGCTTTAACTCGGTCAGCACTGAAGTTAACAGGAAGTTGGACTCAATGATCTTTGAAGGCCCCTTCCAACTGAACTATTCTGAACGTTCTTCTTCAAAGCCCAAGAATAAGGAACACCACTGGAGTTGCTCTGCATTACGGCAGATGGAATGGAGATAACTGTATATGCTTTGAGTTCCTTTTCCTCTAAAGTTGTCAGTAACTGTAGCATTGTTTTTAGTGAAGAATTACATTTAGATAGGGATTTCTGTTGGTAAGATAACTCGATAACATCATAATTCCAAATTAGTAACAGATTTTGGTTGCGGCTGCTTGTTAGAATTAGTGGACAAGTGATGAAAATGCATTTATTCTTATGTTAATTCTATGAGACCTTCAATCCTTTGGAAAAAGAGATCCCCACAGAGATTTTAGAGTCTTGATTTAAAGCACCAAAAGAGACTGCAAAACTAACAGAATTTGCAGTTAAAATAATTCTGTATTTTCCCAGTCATATGAACTCCTCTGAGTTTGCCTCCCGAATAAAGCTGATGCTGTTAAGGAGCTTCTGACAGCTTGTGATTCCATCTGAACTTTAAACTTGAGTAGACATTTATATTGTGGATGAAGAGCAAAAAATGCTCGTTATTACAGATCCTGCATTGATGACACAGAAACAAAACAACTGAGGGGCAGACAGGTGAAGACTCTCCATTTTCAAAGTTTCTAAAGGGAAGCAGCAGTAGTAAACATCAGGGTTTATTCTGAGGGTGCCTAAAAATAAAGCTTCATACAGTGCCAAATTAAAAGTACCATTCTGTCCTTACTTTGTCATTAAGGACATAACTGCACAGCTTTGTCAAGTGTTAAATCTCTATGTACTCATCCTGTAGCATGCCCACATGTTCCCTTATGGGAAGCTTCTATGCTCAGCAGGAGGAGATAAGGCATGCTCTACCAACCAGAACATCTCCCTGGTGATCCAAAAATGCCTTTGCTAGCACGCATGTGGATAATTCAATCCTTTATGTGCAATAGCATTCCACAAAGACTACACAGGAAAGGCTAAGAAACTATCCTGCTTACGTGGTTTGTCAATAGAATACAAAATGAGGTCTTCCCAAAGTTCTCCATCATCTTGTTCCTTGGCAAATTCAATAGCTTTATCTACATCTTGCAGTTCTTCCATTATCATCTTCAAAGCACTGCGGCTGTTCCCCATTCTGCCTAGAAGGATAAAATAAGAGTTTATAAAACCTAAAGCACTGAGTACTGATAAGCATTTAAGAAACACTTGTTGCTTTTTCCTTACGAATTTTCTAAGTGATAAATTCCCCCATATTAGAAACCTAATCCAATCAACTTGATGAAAGGAGAGCTCATTCCAGAGCTATCAGTATCACCTGAACATGTGCACAGAGGACTCTGCTGGACTGGGACCCAGATTCATTCTTACAGACATGGTAGGCCATACTCTAAACTGCAGCAACATCTGACACAAGGTGAAGGGTGTTCATGTGTACGTATGTTTGCATGCATATGAACTTTAAGATGATTTATCTCTTGTTAAGAACCTGTATCAACACACTTAACTTGCTCTAAGCATAGTTCAGCTTACACCCATGGAAAATAAGAGGGAGGAAGCAAAAGCTCTGAACTGTTTGTCAAGTAAATCCATGAGTAAATTCTACTCTGCTCTCAAATGGTCCACAAAATGTTCTTATTAAAAAAAAAAAGATTGATTATATCAGTAATAAACACTTTCCATTCTGATTATAATTAATACACAAACACACATACAAATCTTACAGTAATACAACAGCTCCCATTCAGAAGTGGGGAAGTTAATTTTAAACTATTCAAACATGAATTATTTTTTTAATAAGAAAAAACCAGCACTAGCAAACCTTCTGCCTAAGCAAAAGGTGACACTAAGCTCCTGAGATGTGCTTGGAGTGAAACCTGTTTTATTTCTCCCCTGTCCCCAAACAGAGAGAATTACTCTTCTCTTGGAGGTTCTCTCAAAATCATATCATATGCATAATCAACCCCTTTATTTTCCAAATCATGTTATTTGGTCTTACTGACCGCATACCAACTTTGTCTTTGGGAAGTGTGCCAAAAGACAGTAACAATACATCACACGTTTTTGCAGCATAAACTTCACAAGATTAAAAGCGTGTTGTAATTTATCACAGGGAGAGTTACTTACTCAGAAGATAAACTGTCTCTTCTACAAAGTTTCTCTGTTGGCAGATCTCTAGAGCCTTGAATTAAGACAAAAGAAAGAAAGAGAATACAGGGAACCACGTAACAAGATATTCTATTGATCACAAATGCTACAAGAAACTAAAGGATACCTTTCCATGAAGTTGCATTACTCATTCTGACAGGAATACAGCGTCCTTAACATGCACTGTCAGGTCCTCTGTCATTAATTAAAAGGAGAAATTCCATGGCATTTTTTGCTTTTTTCTCTAAGATTAAATAATTTTAGTAACTGGGATGTTTTTCAGCTACACACAGATTCCATAACTGCCCATGACATCAGTTCTCAGCAGTAACAGAACCTGTGCACAGTTGAAAAACACCCCAGTTACTAGAATCACCAAAGTGATTACCAATAAGTTCTTAGCAATGCAAATCAGGCAGGCCTGGGTGTGCCATAAATGATGCCACGTCTGTTTACAACCTAGAAGCAGAAAGCAAACTCGACTCACCAAATTTCCATGGCATTAACTGTTCACCAAATAAATATTTTCATACTTGGAAATCAAAACTGCATCTTCGTAAGATATAGCTACAACTGATGACAGAGGTAGGAATTAACTCTTCCTTCTATTCTCAAATAGATGGGTTACCATAAAGTCCAAAGACATACACAATGAATTTCAGGGGCAGGGTAGTGATTTCACAACCAGATACTTTGGCTGCTTGAAGGGATAAATAATGAGTAATGAATATATTACAAACAGAGTTGATAACCTTTTTTCTCTCCACTTAGAGTACAAATTACCAAGCATTCAGTATTTCTGGAAGTTGCACGTTCAGTGACTGCCATGCTCCCTCTAGAGGAAAAGAGGGGACAGTCATATTTTTTTCTTCAGTTTGTTTTACACAAGCTTTGCTAAACTGCACTTGAAAGCAGTGGCTTACTTTTAGAGAAATAGAATGACTTCTTCTTGCATTGTTTATCATTTATTTACAGCAACAGTAAGTACGAGTTTGTTCAAATTGTTTTTTTCTTTCAATTTTCACACAGCGCTGGAACCAGCTTAACAGAAAGTGAGCACCTGGGAAGTTATGCTCTATATACATATGGAGCAAAAAGCACTGTTATATGGTATTTATGGTAAAAAGCACAAAGGCTGCTCCAAAGGCAATGCCTTCTGTTTTTTTATGTTGGCCCACGACATCAGAGGCAGATGTTGGTGGTACAGCAGTAGGGGTTGAACCTCCCACCAATATTCCATTATATTTTGTGGTGGTGCAACAGATGGCAGCAGAGGGGCAGTCTGACCAAATGGTGCCTGGCATGCAAGTGTGTATGAAGCAAAGGGGTGGGCTGGGCCTCTGACATGTTCTTGTTTACAGTTTAAAGCAGTGCCAACAATGCCAACACTGAAATCATGTAGTTTTTGGAACAACTGGGACAATTTTAACAATGACCAAGGCTGCAGTCCTAACATCGTTTTGTTTTCCTGTATTGAACAGGAAAGTTGGCTGACAATTGAAAAAAGCAAACAAAATAAGAGAGGTGCCATGAATGGTTCTGTTTAGAGTGTCAACCACAGAAACTACAGTATTTGATAATACATTTAAACTATTCCACAAGGGTCATCACTACATCTGCATACAGAAAGGCAAACTTTCAGCTTGGCTGAGCAGATCAGACCTCAACTGCGAAATCAGGTTTAATACAATACTGACCCAAATGAAGAGTAAAACTCAAATTTCCATTCCGTTCACTTTAATTCAGAAGTGTTAAATTAAAAAAAAAATACAAACATGAGCATCATTAGTTCATTTTATATTTGATGAGACAAAGTAAGGAGGGGGAAATGTAAAAAGGATAAAAAAGATGGCAACACAGTACTTTGCAGAATTCCCAGTCTGCTAGCAGAAGTACAAAATCAAAATATTTCTGGCTCTGTTAGTTTACTGACTGTTAAATTGTGTAAGTTACTTGAAAACAACTCAGAACCTTAGAATATAAAGCCAAAAAACATACCATTAAAGTTATCTATTTTTCAAGATCTAGCACTGACTATGCTTAGATTTTTCAAAACAATTGTTTATTTCCTGCAACCACAACCCACTGCCTCAGTCAGGTCAGGCTCTGATGAATAAAGATGCTTCAGGCATGCATCAAGTATGAATTTTGGACTTCTGCCTTAAAAACCACCTCAAATTCCTGCAATCTGAGCTACAAGAGAAAGGTCTTTGCTAGCAGCCAGGAGAAGGTGCATCACTTCTGCAGGTAATGATCACAAAGCCAAAGGATTCTCCCTTTTGGCAGTAGAGGGCAGTGCCAGACACACTTACAAATGTACAGTTCTACAAGCATGAGATGTAAAACTCCATGACTGGTGTTATGGGGCTTACCTTCTCTAGTGGGCAGTGTGTGCTGTCTCTGAGAAATGGCAGTAGATTTGGACGATCGTATTCAGCATAAAGACTGATCTGTTTTTCATGATACCGTTGTCCTTTATGGTGGTCTCTTTTGAAAAGCTTGTGCAAATACTAAGAATCAAAAGAAGAAATGGAATTCAGAAACTCTCCCACAACATTATTTGGACTGTATAAGAAACTCCTCATTAAATTCCTCAGGAACACACTAACACATACTAACAGGCACAAAGATTCAAAAGGCTGATTTTTTTTCCCCCAAAGTACTCTCATCACAGCATTCTCCATTATTAACTCTGTAAAACAGTTTCTTAGCAACATTTGAGTAAATGTCCTTTAATCTTCACAGATTTTGAATTTGATGGAAAACTTTGGAGAAATACATCAAATGAAACATTTATTTACCTAGATATGCTTGACCATTATGGGTAAGTTTAAATTATGAACATTTTAACCAAAGTACTGGTCCTATGAATAGAGGGGTGAAGGCCATTCTTCCTCTGTGAGCAAAAAAAAGAAAAAAGACTTAAGAATAATCTGGAGGGCCACTCGTATCCAAAGGGAAGCAGACTCCACACTTTGAAACAAATGCATGCCCTCCATAAACTGAGGGCATCTTCTTCGAAAAGCTCTTGGGCTGCAGGCTGCACACTTCATAGAGTTGTTTGCTATAATCAGATCTCTAACTCATAAACTCACTCTCTCCAGCAGATCGATCGATGCCTTGAGCCCCAGTACAGCAGCAAGTTAAAACTTCCCTCCCTAATACAGCCCAAGATCACAGTTACATGTTAAGCATTCTACCAACAGCACGCTCCAACTGAAGGGTTGCTCTCAGAATAGCAATTTGGAGCCACAGTTGTTCTGATGTATTGTAATGCTGCACAAAGCAGAACAGTCCTGCAGAGTATGGAATTTACTGCTCTAGATAAGCAGTTCACTGTCTTTATGGAACAGAAAAACCTGCTTCAGAGTTGCATCCAACATCCAACCCCACTTCTATGTAAGGAAAGAGGAAGTGGGAAGCAAGCAAAAAAGAACTGACCAGAGAGGACAAGCATCTGCAATGCAAAAATAAGGAATACCTCAGAGGATCTTAACCACAAAGCAGTACATTACCAAGTTCTCACGTGTATACACTGTCAGATTATTTTACTATTGTAAAAATGCAATGATCGTGGTAGAAAGTGGATGAGCAGAAGTAGCCACTTTGGTTGTGATGATTTATGAAATTTCAGTATCGTGTGCACACTGACACAGCATACACACATGGGACCATAGAATCCTTAGAGCTGAAAGGGATCACTGAAGGTCATCTAACTCAACTCCCCTGCAATGAACATGGACATCACAGACAGATCAGGCTGCCCAGGGTCTAAACCAGCCTCATACTGATAGTCTCCAGGGACAGGGCATCAACCACATCTCTGGGCAACCCATTCCACACCACTCTCACTGTCAAAGATTTTTTCCTTGTGTCTAACCTAAATCTACCCTATTTGAGCTTGAAACCATTTCCCCTTGTTCTATCACCACAGACCCTGCTAAAGAGTCTGTCTCCTGTAGCTCCCCTTTAAATACTGAAAGGCCACTATCAGGTCACCTCGTGGACTCCTTGCTGGAGAGCCCCAGCTCTCTAAACCTGTCCTCGAAGGAGAGGTGATCTATAACAGATGTGTCCTGCAGATATCTTATCCAGCTCAAAGTGAAACTAGTAAAATATAGAAGTTTTTACCACATGTTGTAGTTCAGGTCTGTTTTCTAGCTCTTCAACAACTCTGTCAATCTGCAAGAAAACAAAAACCCAAAGATTAGCAAATCTCTGTGAACATTCACAGGATTGAAAGGGGGATGAAAAATGCAAGCAGCACTGGATCACTGTATCATGAACTTGTCATACTCACGGAAATTTTATCTTCATTATCCAAAAGCATGTCCACTGCTTTCTGAAGTAAAGAAAGAAAATCCAGGTAAGAAATAGGTATGCACATTTTGTCACTCTTGATTACAGCACTATGCTTGTTCACTGATGGGTATCGGATGGACGCTGCAGACTTATTCTTCTCAGCAGCATTAATTCAGAAAGCAGTTTGCATAACAACAGCACTCTCCAACAGCAGAGCATTACAGGTAAACAAACACGTAATGTACTCATCCAGAATACCTGTCCAAAGTTCACACACTAAAAGTAATCAGTTCTGTGCACTTACACTGCAGGTACAGTACGCCCATTGAGTCATGGCTCACAGAAGGCCATAGGCAAATGCTGAAGAAATACTATTTGTCCAAATGCAAAAGTGAGCTGCAGGGTGATGGCTGTATAGGAAACACACACAGCTCAACTTGCCTTACAATTGGATTCCCCCAGCCTATCTGTACACTGCTACTGCTACTGTAACAGGAGCAGCCAAGATCACGTAAACAAGAGTAGTCACCAGGGTGCCTGCTCTGCTTCCACTTATAAAATCAAATTTTGGTTCAATAAAACAAAATAAACTCAATAAAACAATAAAACATCATCAGATGCTTGATGTAACTCATTATATTTATTTTAAAAAAATGATACACTATACCAAATACTCATCTTTGGTATAGATTGCTCCATATTTTAGTTCCAGTGCTGAAACAACAGCTGCACAGAAACAGATGATCTACTTGTTTTCTTCCAAGGATCATAGAGATTGTTTCCCCAAGTACCAAACAGATTCTTTTCCCAGCACGCATACAAAAGCTCATTTGCTGAGGTTTTAGACAACTGGGAAGAAAGAAGATTGAATTTGGCACCATATGCACACTTTTCGATTTTTGAGATTTAAGTTAATGACTACACAAACTTCCAGACACAGAGTAATTAATTACAATGAAAAAAAAAAGTGCAAAATACATTCAAAATCTGCTCACACCAAATTAACTGCGTACTACATCTGGCTCCTCAACAGTGTGAACTGAGGAGAAACGCAGAGAAACATCATGGTGTAGGTCTACCTGCACAAATGATCTCAGCACTGGCACTCTTCTCTCTGTGAGTGACACTCAAATGGAAATACAAAAGAAAAACTTCATCCCTGGATTAATCACTGTGCAGTCCAGGCAAACATCTCCTTGTCTCAGAATGTATCCAGACGCAGTAAAACAACTCCATGCTTCACTGCTATCTTTAAACTAATTTATTCATAATTTGTTAAGGTGAAAGTGAATATTAAAAGCACCGTACCTCTGAATCAAAATCCATGAGCAGAACAATTTTATCTTTGATGGAACTGAACAGATTGTGCTTGTGGATCAACTGGAAGACGTCTTTGTGTCTGAGAGTTAGGTAAATTTCTAGGGCTCTGCCATAGCGCTGGTCATACGTATACCTGCCAAAAAGCAGCCTTGTAATTTATGTGACCTAAGTGCAAGAAAATCACCTCTGAGAGGAAAATAAATAAATATACATCAGAATGCAAAACATATTAGGATGGCACTTGATTTTATGAACATGAGAATAGTTGCCAGTTTTTTTAATAATGAGGAATAGCACTGTGCAACTCCGTTTATGTAACAGTCACAGTATTCATGTTCTGTGGTTCCTGCATTTTCACTGCCTCCTGTTTTAAAACCACAGGGAAAGCTACACAGAAACATTAGCTTTTCTAATTTTGGAAGCCACCTGAAAACCCCTTCAGAGCAAAATAAAATTAAAAAAAAAAAAAAACGAACACACAAAAAACCAACCCATATTGCTCTCTTAAAACTTTGGGACAGACAGTAACAGAGCAGCAGACAGTAGCTCTGCCTTCTTCAAAAGAGGGTGTATGAAGATAACTTAATATAGGTGGGCATCAGGCTGAGAAAACTGAAGAACTGTATCCTTGTAAGAAGTACTTTAGAACCAGATCATCTTTAACACATTTTCTAGTCACATATTTCCAGCCATGCAGTAAACTTAAATATACTATTTTTCAAACAGAGGGGAAAAAGAAAAACAGATTATCTTCCTGTTATTTTCCTCTTCCCAAAAAAGACTTCCTCAGGCAGCACAGAGAGAAATGTAGGCTATTTGTTTTGGAAAGAGAAGTAGCAAATCCAGTCTCATACTAAACTCTCCGCGTTCATACACTGCAACACTGCAACACAGCAAGGATCTCTGTTAAGAAACTTAGACAAATATTTATAACCTACTGTATCCTATCTCAAGCACACCTTCTGTAATAGGAGTTTTAAATTGTACTCACAGTTCTGCAAGGGTTCTTAACAACGTCCTGTTTTGTGGATCTTTCTTCAGGTGATCTACTACAGCTTGAACTATGATTGTGTTGTTGTAGAGGTCTCCAGGCCACTCTTTTATCAGGGTTGCAAACCCCTAAAAGTATAAGAGATTGTAACAGAAACAGAAATAAGTGCCTAAGGAACATTTCAAACATCAAAGCCCCAGCTAAGCCTCTGAGATGATACATGCTGTGCTACACCTCTAAGCCACTTCTACATGCCCACAAACACGCACAGCGTATAGATTTTCCTTCTCAGGGCAACGTTATCAAGATTCATGAAGCTGGGTCTCTTTCAGGTGTTGCTTGCTTTGTGAAGCAGGTGGGCTACATGTTTTACATTAAACAACTAAAAATAATAGTATTCCTAGTAAGTAAATCCTAAAAGATTAGTGTTCTCTGAAAAACATTTTACTTATTCTTCTGTAAACAAACAAAAAGTGTCTTTTTTTGCTATCATGGAATTGTTCATTGACAACCTGTTTGAACACAATGAATTCTACACTGCTGAGTGTATTTTGCTTGCAACTGCTGCTACATGTGGACACGTCTGGCTGTAGTACCTCATAGTCACTCTCCAAAAACTCATGCAGGACCATCTCATAGATGAGAGGTTTCAAAACTGGATCCCGTCTGGGCAAGTAACGACTAATTGCCTGCAGGAACAAAAAGAGCAAAGAGTAAGAAGGGGTATGATATATAACATCCTAGTATTTTAATGATAGAAATAAGAGTTGTTGGGAAACAAACAACAAAGCCAAGCACAAAACATAGCTTTTAGTGAACACTGGAAACACTGTATGCTCTGATTTGTAACCAGTTTCCTAGTACTACTTGCTTTAAGATGGCACACATTGGAAACATAACTTACCTGAAAGAAACTTCATTAGATAGATAGTGGTAAGATACTAGTTGGAATGGGAAAATGAGCCACTGGATTTACCAAGGTGTAACTACTGACTTGCAGTCATTAGAGAATAAAACAAACACAAAAGACCCTTCAGAAACAGTTCTCAAAATCCATTTTGCCTAGTCTTTCCACTATATCTTGTAAAAAAGTATGAGCACTCACTAGTTGAAAGACACTTCCTTTTAATTTGTGACTTACTGTGAAGCCATTACAGTTTTGAAGAGTTTTGTTTCACTATTTTTACGCACTCGAATAAAAATTAATTTGAGAATAGACCTCTCCAAGGAAATTCTGAATGAATGTGACCTGTTGCTCTATAGAAGGTGTTAAGAAACTGCATGCTGACAGCTGGGAGACAGGAGTCTGCCCAAATTAATTAGCTCATGCCATGGAATTTCAGCACAGATTCTTATTTACCACTACTATTCCACACAAAAAGAGGCCAAGGTTATTACAGCCTGACAAAACAAACCCTACCACAACTTGCCATGCTGGGACTCTGGGGTTTATAGCTGAAAGCCCAGCACTGATGAAATTCCTCCAAACACTCGGAGAAATTGTCTGTTGCCCACTAACAGAACACGTTGAGGAGCATTTCATTACTGAGGCTGCTTGAACAAAGCAGAAAAAATAACATCACACTACAACACAGGTTGGTGTGGCTTTACAAACAATGATTATTTGCAACCAATTCTGCCAATACTTGACTTTGAAGTGCAGCGTGCTGCCAACACCAGCTCTCACCATCTGTCAAAGAATTTAACAGCTACCTTGGGGCACAGCCCTGCCAGCTGCCCCAGGGAACCAAACCACAAAGGAAGCAAGCTGGATGTCAGCTGGAGGCTCGAAGAAAAGATTCCCACACTGCTGTTCTCATACCCCCTTCCTGCTTTACTGTCACCTCCTAAGCAAACAGCTTCAGTGGAAAGGCTTTGCTGCAGTTTCTGACTCTGGTTTGCCAGCACCACCCACTGAGGAGCAGAGGCAGCTGGCTCTTCATGTGGGGCCAGAGCAATGCAGAAAGGAAACCACTTCGGCCCCAAGTCCCACTGCTTCAAAGGGAAATCACAACCACCTCCTGCAGCCCGGCCCCTGCGCCCAGCGAAGACAGAAAAGCATCCAAATAATTTTTGAGCCAAGGCACAAAGCTGAACTAAAACCTGTGCTGGAGGTTACAAACTCTCCCTATTTTATTTTTAAGCAGTAGTTAAAAGAGTGAGGTCAGAGAGACAAAAAAGCTACAAAATTGGGATGCCTTTATATCAATTCCTCAGCCACACAGGGAAACTGACTTTAAGTGAAAAGAAGATACTACATACGGAAGCATTTTCTTTTTTCTTTCTTCTTCACACATGCTTTCAGACTTCTGATCAATAAAAGCTGGATATACACAAGAAATCACATATAGAAGGTGACATGAGATAGCCTAAAACATCTCACCAATAAGCCCAAACCACAGACACGTATTCCTCAGAGGATACTTCTGAGATGAAATAGGCTGTCTGGATAATGCTGCTCACTACTAAGCCCACCAAGTCAGGTGAAGTCTTTGAAGTGTCCTCTAGCCAACATTTTGGTCATTAAAACATCCCTGCTGCCACCTGATCATCCTGCACTCCCGCTGAAAGTCACTGCTGCCACAGCAGAATCAACAGCATGGAGCATATCCCCCACGCCACAATCAACAGCACTCACAGTTTGACCTCCTCCAACAAATCCACCTCAATCCAGGCTCAAGGAACCCTGGACCTAATGCTGCAGTGATTCATGCACGAGCTCAAGACTCCATCAGGGTAACACTGCCAGAGGAGCAGAGGAGCAGATCGCCTCAAGGCCCTAAAATTTTGAAACTGTTTAACAATTTAGCTGCAGAATTGAGAATCACCAACATACCAAAATGCAGCCTTGATAGCCAAGTAGGATTTTTTAATATGGTACACTCAAAAAACCCTAAACTCACAAGCTATACTGCAACCATCAGGTTTCAGGCAACAGCTTGCAGATGAAGGGAAAAATCTTTAAGGAAATTTGCTTTTGAAATGCACAAATAATTCCAGAGAATGACAGCGTAATACAACCATTCCAAAGATAAGAGCTAAACTTCAAAAGTTCATGTAATTTTATTTCTTGGTCCTAGAAAACATTTCGTCTCTTCATCAAGACTAAAAGCCTTTACAGCCCAATTATATTATTGTGTTTCATAGCTGCTGGTTGGATAAATATGTAAAAAAATCAAATAATATAATAAAAGAAATTGCAAGCATTACAAGAATTTAGATCTGGCTAAACTTACTTCATGTACCCTTATAACCTGGGAAAACTTGTATGAAACTGCAATAGTAAAATAAGAAAGGCAACTTCCAGAACTGCAACCTGAAGCTGAACGATGTAACATACTGTACTTTATGTTTTCCCAAGTCCATTTCCAAGGGATCTGAAAAAACCACCAACCACTTTTAGAAAGGCAGTAATTCAGTAGAGATTTTTTTTGCAGCAAACGTGCAAATATTTTTGTATTTTACAGTCTGTTGGATGACATAAGTGGAATCAAGAAAAAAATCAATTCCAGACATTTGTATCTACAGACAAAATAAAACCAACAGAACTTAGAAGCAGCGTATCAAAATTTCACCCGTACCTGCACTCAAGTCCTTTACTGGATTGAAATAAAAAGACAGAAGCATGTGATTTCACCTTCCAGTGTGGCAAAGAGTGCACCGAACCACTAAGAACTCATCTAAAAGGCAAGGCTGTTCTTGCACTGGTGTGACTAACACAAAAGCCGTGCATTTCTAAAAACCATAACGCTGAAACACTTCCACTCTTTGAACAGAATTAAACAGCTTAAAACCAGCAAGGGACTGAACACTGTGACATCTTAATAATATGTCCTTTTTGGCTCATTGAGTTTGAATAGGAAGACATCAAATTCAGAAATAAACGTACATGCATCACCAAAGGGAGACTGCATACTGTTTTCTACGGGTTTGGCAGTGACAGCAGTGTATAGTCTTATAACCCAAGGCAATTTATTAACTGAGAATCTCACATTAAACATACACCATCATGGTAGCTGGCTTCCTACCAGCAAAAACACGAGACAGGGCAGACTGCTTCTCTTTTGCCACCATTTCTAGCAAGGAACAAACTGAGATCACCCGGTACCATGTTAGCACAGGCAGAGCAAGTCACCACCAGAAACAGGAACACAACTAGCTTAAATCTTAGTTCAACAACAGTCTGTTGATTCTCTTGGCACATTTTCTAATTTAGACACTGCACGGGAAACAAATACCTCCCTTTCCTCTTCACCTGGTGGCAGGATATGAACGCTTCCTGGTGCTTGAGGTACGCAGGTGTCAACTGCTGGGGGACGGCCACCTGCACATCTGTATCCACCTGCACACCTGTATCCCTGTCCCTAAGCTTCCTAAGACTGCTATTCAACAAACTGCAGAGATCAAATCTGTCCGAACGACCTCTAGAGGCATGACTGATATCCAGCTCTGCGTGCTGTAGTGAGGGCCTGGTTTCACCTTCAATCACCCACTCTGCCACGGAGAGTGCAGGCTGAGGACTGCAATCTTTTATCGGTCTTCTTATCCACAATTGGCCAATTCTCAGGCCAAGACCAGGCCCTAGAGACACAGGCCCTCTAGCAGACCCCCTTTTTGTCCCAGTATGGTTGTGCAGAGGATGCCGGGCCCTCTTCTGCCCATCTCTCTACTCCAGGATCAGGGCAGAAGAGGTGCCGAAGGACAGCTGATACAACTCTTGAAACTCAACAGTTTTTAACGATTATGTCTCCCTTGGCTGCCTGTGGGGTATCAGCACGCTCTGCCCCCTCTGCTGCTGTCTGGCACAGACAGCTAGCTGCAGGGTGCTCAAGAACCCCTGCCCTGACCCTCTTGGTATGTTCCAGGCAGCTGCAGGGTGGCTGAGAACCACTCCCCCCCCCCAAAGCCCCCACTCCATGGTACATTCTTGCAACCATCTCCCAAATGCCATGTTTTGGTTTCCATGGGACACTCAGAACCCCTGAGAGGAGAGAGCGAGTGACGCCTGCACGTCAGAAAGTTTCTCCTATCTGAGATGGAGCAACCGCCCTTTAAGAAGAGGCGGCCGATGGGCAACGACATCGAGCCCATGGAGGTGGACCCGCCTGGCAGTGACACAGAGCCAATGGAGGTGGATCTGCCTCCGGAGGATGACATGATGGAGGTGGATCCACCTCCGCTGCTGCACACCAGCCAGCACGGCACCACTGCCAGGCCGATCAGAAAGAGATCGCGCCCCAGGCATCGCCGGGGCGCCAGGATCCGTCCACCTCCATCCAAACGGCCGCCTCGACGCCGGCGCTGATGCTCCCACCCCGTAAGTTTGCCCTCATCCGGGAGAGCCCCAGCTCAGGGGCACCCTGTGGGCTCACACAGAGCCTCCATTTCCTGGTCGTTCTTCTTTTCGCAGCCAAGGCTCCTATGAGTCCGTCCTTCCCATTCCCCTCCCTTGTCCCTTCCCAAGTCCTCTCAGCTCTTCTTCACTGAAGCCTGAGGAAGAGAGCAGGGCAGGGACTGCCATCCTCTGAGCTGCTGTGAGGAGGCAGCAGAACGAGTCCAGCAGAAGGACCATAAGTACTGGGGGCCTTCAACATCACAGAATCACAAGTAAGTTTACCGTTAGCTGGGAGGGAGGGCCCCAACTCAGGGCCACTCTGTGGGCTCACATGGAGCCTCCATTTCCTGGTACCTCATCTTTTCACAGCTGAGGCTTCCATGAGCCCATCCTTCCCGTCCCACTCCCTCATCCCTCCCCAGGGTGGGAGGAAGATCCAGAAGTGACAGAGGCAGTTGTTGGTGTGAAGAAGCAGAGTTTGTTTGGGACAGGAGAAAGTCCTGAATTTCAGCAGGAAGATCTGGCCCAGATGCTTCACTTGGACTTTTTGTTCAAGAATCAACGGTTAATCAACAATCAATTTAAAATAGAAATGCAAAATAATAAAAAAAGTAAAAAAAAAAAAACACCACAAAATAAACAAATTTTCTTTTTTAAAAAGAAAAATAAAAACTGTTTGTTTTTTTTTTTTTTTTTTTTGGAATTTTAGAGTTTGTATGCAGATTCCCATGCCCCCTTCTTTTCTCCCCCATATAGGAATGTACCCTAGAACAAGACACACTGCCCTCATTTCCAGCCACAGGAGCCATTGAGAGAACTGCACAGACTACGGGCGTCCCCTTGCCCTGCCTCATCACCCTCTGCTATGTGGAGGGAATAGTTTACATACACATCATCTAATCATCTAGAAAAGAGTAAAGAGCCCATTTTGACTGTAGAAAAGATAGTCTGACAGAATCATACAGACTATTTAGTTTCTTAATCACATCCTGCTGAAACTTAGCTTTCCAGACAAACAAAACCAATAATAGCAGCAGTGTTACCACTTCATTAGCTGTAAAAAAGCAGGATCAAAGATTGAGAAAAATCAGCTAACAGCTGTATAAGGAATCAAGTTTTTAATTCTGCAGCAGGATACATATCTCTGAAGAAATGTTTCAAATGGCTGTTTTATTTTCCTTTAACACATACATTCTTCCAGAATGAAACTGGTAACCTATTTCCTTTACCTATTTTGGTTAAAAACTAAGCCAAAACACTAATATGTGAAGAATACATTTTAAATGGGAAACATTTTGCAAAGAAAAAGAAAAAAAAGAGAGAGGGAAAGAGGAATAAAAGAGAGGGAAAGAGAAAAAAAAGAAGAAAAGAGGAAAAAAGAGAGCAAAAGAGGGAATGAAAAGCCTAGAGAAGGTGCATGGAGACCCCATTGCTAACTTCCAGTACTTAAAGGGAGCTTATAAAGAGGAGGGAAATCAACTTTTTACAAAGGTAGATAGTGATAGGACAAGGAGGAATGACTTTAAATGAAAAGAGGGGATATTAGGTTAGACGTCAGGGGGAAACTGTTCAGTGGGAGGGTGGTGAGGTGCTGGAACAGGCTGCTCACAGGAGCTGTGGATGTCCCATCCCTGGAGGTGCTTCAGGCCCTCGGTAAGCCTGAATTGGGCCCTGGGTGACCCGACCGAGTGCCTGATTTAGTGGTTGGCAACCCTGCCCACAAGCAGGGGGTTGGAACTAGACGATCTCTGAGGTCCCGTCCAACCCAAGCCATTCTATGATTCTGTAATTTTTCCCTAAATTACTCGGCTATTTAACTATTTTTTGACAATTAAAGCCTTGGCTCTGCTGTAAGGAACTTTGGATGCTCAGGAAAGGCTGCCACTCACAGAGGCTTTTCTGTGTAAAAGCTGAGGTAGGCTTTTTGAAGACATACTGGAAGGAAGTGAAAATGAAATGGGAATGATGTATTTAACTGTAAGCATCTGTGAAAGTAAAGCCCCTGGGGGTGGGTCTTCTACTTGTGGGCTGTCAACAAGTTAAAAATAGGTAGCTGAGTACCTGGGGTATGCTTTGCCTCCAACCCTGTTCGGAGGCTTGTTAACATACACCTATCAACCTGAGTGACAACTGTACAACTCAGGATCTGGTGCAAGAATTTCAAAGGCAGAGTCTTGTGCTACCACATTAGTCATTAAATGTCAATTCTTTAGATACTTGCTCAAAACATGAAGGAAATAGAGCACGCCAATTACCTCAGCTGAGAGATACAAATAAACTTACCTTAAGTTGACCTATTTCTTTAAACTTGTAAACTTCAAATTCCCAGAGTTCTGTGTTTTTGCCAAGAATTTTCTGGCACTTTCTGGGAGAAAAACGAAAGGGGAGAGAACAGAAGTTCATACACAGAATAACACAAACGTGACAGCATTATTGCAAGGATTTATTTTCCCTACCAGACTCTTTCAAATTTCACTAATTTTGGTGAGCAATTGCTTCAAGCAATGTCATTGCATTCAAAAGAATTTGACATCTTACTATGCATTCATCCTTACTGACTAGGGTTATACTAGAGATTTCACTCACAAAGTAAAATTAAGCACTTAAAGATATACATATACATACATACATATTGAAATACAAATCTTAGGCAATTTCTTATCTTTTAGGTAATCAAATTTGTCTTTTTGGTTACACCCATAGATCCACAAACTATCTTCTGATGGTCTCACATGCAACTGACACATTAATAAGATTGTCAACATCTAAAGGAAACCTCAATGTTGAAAATTTAGTGTAATTTTGAAAAAATCACAGGTTACTTTCTAAAAAATATGTCTCAATTTCAATTAAACTTAAGAAAGATTCCAATAACTTTCAGGTCCCCACAGGCAAGAAAATAAAGGACACAGTAATATGTCTGTATGTTTTCGAACTTTAGAAACTCCAGAGCACACAGAAAACAACAGCACAAAATACTTCAGAATCAGTAATTGCTCTCACTGTTTCTCACAGACACACTTCAGCCAGCAAAGAAAGTCTTTAATACGTTACCGAGCAGCCAAGTCATGCTCTCCTTTCTCCACTAGGTGATTTATATAGGCTAAGCCTATATCCTAAGGGGAATAAAAATAAGTAATTAGTTATAAAAGTTTGGAAGTCAAGTACTTTACTGCTACAGTAAGTCCCGTTTCAGCTACAGTCACTGTCACTATGTCAAGCACCAGTCCCTACATGGAAACTCTCAGTTCTACTTTAGAAGTAGGACCCACAGAACAGAACACAAAATATTAGCCTAGATACCCCAAGAACTCCAATCACAATGCTCTTTTACATCATTTTCATAATCTTGTTGACACTAGGAAGACTACCACCTCTATATGCTAAAGATTGTTCAGAACACACAGCTGATCATTCAGTGCTTGCATTGGCTATCTCAAAAATAAGAACATCAACCAAAAATCTTCTCTACCAATATGAAGTTAGCAACAGACAAAAATCTTAGTTGAGAATATAAGCCTCAGGGATGCTTCATAAAGTAAAGGCATTACCAATAATTTTTCAGGAGTATGAAATATAATTGCACATTAAATTCAACTTCTCAAGAGTTTATCAGACATTTCAGCTGCAAAATGATTTGGTAGGCACATAATACTAGAATCCTGTCCAACTGCTTGCCTTCTGCTGTAACCTCAAATGCTGGCGTTAAGGTCAATGCAGGCTACTGTACCCACTGTGTAACTTAAGAGTCCTATCACAAAACTCATTGTTTCAAACTGCAAAGAGAGTTATAAAATAAGAAGGTGCAGAGGGGTGGTGATTATAACTGCAGCCTAAACACAACCCAAGACAACCACAACACTGGTCAGGAGGTACACGTGGGATGCCATTGCTCTGATCACCGACAGGCAGTGAGAGCATGACTAGTTTGAAATCCCTGTACCCTTAAGCCTTCACTTAAGACTTGATATCAACTTTTATTTTTTTCCATTAACAGCTTCTGCAGGTTTCACAACAACCCTCAACAACTATGCTTGTATACGCCCACAATGAATTTCATTCCAGGAGAGGAAATTCTTGCACATCAAGAGAAAAGCATACTTTATTTTTTCCTAATATAATGTCAAGTTGACTCTTAAGAAATCTCTACATCTTTTGCAAGGGTCACAAAGCAGCTAAATCATGCAAACTCTTGACAGGTAATCCATCAGGTCCATTAGGTCTTGGCTCAACTTCTGGACAGCATAAGAAAAGAATTTTTAAGATGTATGGATGCTGTGTGTTCAAATTATAGAAATGTTACATTATCTACCTCCCACGCTTTGTCTTTAACACCAATAATCTTCATTGCTCTTGGAAGGAACTATAAAAGCGGGAAATAACTGTATAGGTGGGAAATAACTATACAATAGAAAAGGAGTTTAACTATGTAAAATAATGAGAATTGCAAAGGAACACGAGAGCTAGATGTGAAACTGCAACAGAATTTCAGCAGCATTTAAAAGGTCGTCCAATTGCACCTTGGAAACTCCTGCCAAAACCCTGTCACACATACAGGGTAAAAGTTAGAGAAATGTGTCACCCCATGCTCCATCTCTAATATTGCAATAATTGTGCTTTTGAACCACAGTAAATTTAATGCAGAAGTAAAAGCAAACAAAAACCCTATCAGCAGTCAGAGAAGTGAAATTCTTTTTAATGTCAATAGCACCTTTATAAAATCCACATCCTGACATGTTTCATGCACTAACATTCCTGTTCTGCAGCTGAAACCAGGAAATCGAATGCTAGTCAGAGTATGCCTAACAGCTATTGTCTGGTGTGACACAGAACAGGGAATGCATTTGTAGCATCTCACAGTGCTCTAAAGGAAACTCTAAAGGAAATCAGATACTTTATTTTGAATAGAAGTTTTCAGACTTACCAAAATCTTGTGCTTTTTTATGGTTTTCTGACTGATCTCAGCTGCCATCAAAGCCTCCTGCATTCAGAAAGTAGAAAACAGAGATACTAGCCACATACACAAACTTTCGATACAGAAAGGTCTAGAACTGCATAAATCAATTTTTTTTCTTTTTTTTTTTTTTTTTTTCCAGAGCAGGGTGTTTGAAGCAGTAGAATTTTTAATGCCATGGTTGAATGAGCAGCTTTGAATTCATACCCAAACAAAAGCAGTCAACCAAAGAGAAAACTACTTTTGTTTCCATCTGGGTTCACTCCACATTACTATATTAGGATCAGATCTCAAGATTACAAGAAGAAAGACAATGCAATCCCATTGGATCATTTTCAAATGAGAACTCTTCCCTACCAAAACGTGAAAAAAATCATCAGTATGGCAGTGGGGGAGGGGTATACAGCTCCTTACCCCAAAAGCCTTCTCCAGTCAGTATGACTTATATTTAAGTGTCATTTTTGCTTCCTTCTTCTACTTCAAATGCACAGAAACAAAGCTGCCACTTGTACAAACAAAACGAAACCTTTAACGTACATTCTAACATTCATGCTACCTACTACCTTGAATAGCTTTCACAAAGGCACATGCACAGCTGTCATTTGCAAATTGCTGGAGTCTTCAGGGACCAGATGCTGTGATTTACATAACTGCAAAACTGCACTCATCACACAAGTTTGTTCTTCAGACACAAAAGCATCTGCAAAGATTCAAACAAACCTGCATGCCGAGTACCATGACTGCATTAACAAAAGGTGTAAGTGCTGAATGGCACTTTTTTTTCTTATAATGGGCATCCAACAAGCAGCATTTGTAAGCCACTTCATGTATGGCAACATGTGTTCTAAATCACTAAGTGCAGGAAATCAGAATCCAGAACAGTGAGATAGTCTTTAAGGATTTAACATTGATTTAGATGTTGAGATACACGTGCTTAAAACTGCCAATATTTACAAAACAGTCTAGGAAAGATCCAGGAAAGTGGCCACACAGATCAGCAGATTTAGAGCCAAGAAACAGGTTTCATAATTTTTAGAGACAGCAAACACATTTTATATCTGATGCTGATGGCAGTATTCGCAGTGTTTAGTTCATCTATCTCATTTGAGTGCCATTCAGATGAGTTGCTCCACTCAGAAGTCTAAACCTGCAGAGACATGATGCAGAGACGCATGGCCAACACCTGCCCTCACAGCCATTCAGATAACGACTTGAGGAACAGAATTCAGTTCAAATGATCTAGCTAAGTTCACTGTACCACCACAACTCCCAAATCAGAAGAGTCTGAAGGAAAGAATGTTGTAAAAATTACTTCATATTTCTTCTTCTCAAGAAGCCAGTCAATGTGGTCATCTTGGTCCCGTTCTTTAGCTACAACCACGTCTCTTGGGCTGATGATATAAAACAGTGATTCACCTTCCGAATACTCTGCAAGTGCATACACAATTTTATTATTATTATATTTTCCTTAAGTAAAGCTTTTTAGTACACTCTAGAGGGGAATTTAAAGAGGAAATGCAAGGAAGGAAGCAAGGCTATTCCTGCAGAACATGCTTGTTTGGAAAGCTATATTCTCCAATGAATTAAAACTGGCTTAAATGGTAAAATAGCTTTCAAAAAAAAAAAACAACACTACAGCTTATTGCAGATTCTGATTCATTCACTGTGTGTAAACTTTATGACGGTTTAGAACACATTATTGTACTTTTAGAGGACTATTACACTCCATAGCCTGCAATAAACTTATCCTCCTCATCAAGGTCAAGGCCATCAAAAGCATAAATGATGGATGCCATAACCTCTGGGGACACAGCACATCATTACAGCAATGCATTTGCAACGCTATAAGTTAAGGTTATATGTATAATGCATTTGCTTATACCATAAGCCTTTATTTTTAAGTAAGCTCAAAGTAAAAATGTACTTAAAGGTAATATCAAGCAGAGAAGATGACTGCTCAGAATAATTATTTTTTGCAGAGAACCCATGAAGAATTACTATCAATATTTAGTGGGTATGGGGAAAAAAGAGCATTCCCCATCCCATATCTGGAATATCTGGGATATCACGTATCACTCCTGAGCCTATAAGCAATCCACAGAATACTGCTTGCTTTAAAGCCATCCAAAATTTTTACACTTGTCAGGTTAAGTAGAATATTTATTAAGCATAAAAGTACAACTGTGGGCATCAGTGTTCTGCTTAGGGACAGGTATAAAGCAATCACAACTCCACTGATAGCTGCAGAGATGTTTTGGAGATCAGGAGGAGATATAGTTTATTTCTTTCTAGTGGCTTAAGGGCATTGATGAACACAAAGAGGCCTGCCAAGCCTACGATTTGAAACATGCTGCCAGGGAAGGTATTTAAAAATCAGATTCATGGATTTTAAAAGCCAGAAGGAATGTTTCTGCTTAACACTCCGTATATAATCTTCACCAAGGAATTCTGCATCAGCTTTGCCATGCATCTTCTTGAATTACAACATGTATAGCAGAAAATCCCACCATCTTATTTAAAAGACTGGTATATACTAGGCTAGAGTTTTTCTCTCTGCCTACATAATTAAATCCATCTTCAAGGCTGAAGTTGTCAAACCCCAGTTCCTACTCATCTTAACACTCTGAGGTCTGTTACATGCTGACAGCTTTGTCAGCACTGGGAAGCTAAGTAGTAACGTGCCCCTTTTAATCTGATCCGGGGGCATCTTACTGTTGAAATGACATCTATTCCATCTTTGGCCCTAAACAACTTTTCCAGACTCTGTATCATTCATTCATCACTACTCCCGAAGCCCTTCTACCCAAAGATTCACAAGAGCTTCTAAAGATCGTGAACAGATCTCTATCAGAGATACTTTTCCCCAAAATACTGGGCATTGCACGAGATCAAGACTTCTCTGTTTCCCAGCAAATCTGACTTTTAAGTGGCATTGCAAATCATAATGTTTAATTATATCCCTCTTTGTAAGCAAAGCACATTTGTGTTCTTTCATCTGACTGGTTCTTACATTTCAGCGTCACATGTATTAACAGAGATGAGAAAAATTAAGAAGGCTCTGAGCACTTCCAAATTAAACAATTTTTAATCCACTTAAGAAAACAAAACAAAACAATACTAAGAACACCTACCTAGATGGTAATCTCTACATTCATTCTCCTGAAATCCTCGTACTGTCAGTGCATCAGAAGAGATCTCCTCACAAGACTCAGGCAGAGGTTGTACGATGTCCAGTCTGGGCCTGGCGCAACACTCCACCTCCTAGAAAAATGCAGACATCTTAGCTGCATCCTGCACAGCTTCCTCAGAATATCAACTGATGGCCACCTGCAGGTAAAGTTGATACCCAACAACTGTAGCACCAGATACAGCACCAGAATTCACTTTGCAATGGGTATTCAGCTATGAACCACACAGTGAAGGAGATGCAGAGATGACACAGGCTTGGGAGTTTGGGCATTATTTTTCTGCTCTTGGTCACAGAAGTTTTCAGAGCTAGAACAGATGGTGATCAACCACTGCATACAAAAAGTAATGCAACAGTTTCAGATGTTCTCAGCTGGCCTCAGGCCCCAGAGGACAAAGTTCTACAAATCAGTGTTATTCTGGTACCAAGATCAACTTCTTTTAAGCTGGTGTTTAGGTTTGCGCTTCTAAGCATCCAGCAGCATTACATTAAAATTAAACTAAGAGTAATCTAAAACCTTTACTGTGCTGATGCTCTTCAGAAAGGTCAACTTAAGCAGTGAAATGCAGATGTTTATTGTAAGATGACATCATGGAGAAAACACTGGCTCAACTAGCTTACTTCAATTAAGACAAAGCTCAAGACAAAGCATTATTTTATATTTCAGACTGTCAATTTCAACAAAATACAGCATGAAAGAATATTGTGATGTAAGAAGTAGATTTTCACATCTCTGGCCAACCCAGTCAGTAGCAGAACCACTGAAGTCTTTTCCTGACCTAACTGTTCCAGCAGAAGTGAAAAATGAAGCATAGCCACGAGTTCAATTCCAATGCAATTTGTAACAAGTAAGAAGGTGTCATCTGAAAGCTGTGAAATGAAGCGTAGGAAGGACAGTGTTCTTCACCACCCAACAGCATCTGCAGTGAGCTGTGAGCTCAGGCAGAGGGGCTCTGAGATGCTGGCGGAGGGCTCCTACCAGGCCAGAGCACAGCCACAGCACAAGGATGGGAGTCCTTTCCTTCCCAAAGAACCCAGGCACCAGAAAACTGGGAAGCTATGAACGTCCAGCTTGCAGAGATTTTATTGTCTGTTTACACAGAAGGGTAATTAAAAGCAAATTCAAGTGAAATCTCTTTCTTGTGTTTTATTACAATTGGACTACCTGAATTTTTTTTCATTTTTCTTCCCTGTAGCAGCCAGAATGAGTTTCATCTCAGTTTCTACCTGCATCCACAGCCTCCTTCTTCATTAACGATGGCTTCCTAATTTCCTTTCTCCCTTGAATTCCAATTCCCCTTTTCCTCCCCCTTCCCATCCAATTTGCTTGCCGTCTTTTCTCTCACCTACTCTCATGCACTGGAGGACTACCACACCGGCTCTCTTGGGAACCAATGCTGTGACATTATTTTTCTCCTCCATATAAATAAAGAAATAATAAACTGACATCCTGCAGCAGAGCTGGAAGCTAACCCTATTGATTTCAGCCAGCTCGAGCATTCATTTGAACCTACAGTGTTGCATTGCCTAGCAACTTGTGCACCCAGTTGCTTAAGGTTTCTATGGTGATGCTTGGCTAATGCAGGCCTACTATCAAAGAGATGATCAAGAGCATCTGCCACTCGCACACTGCAACTTCAAGGATTTCCTCCATTACCTCGCCTTTTATTTGGCAGTATGAAATAAATGCTGGAGACAGACACCATACGCGCCTGCTTGCAGTAGAAGCGGCTGACATGAATTCTGATTTCTAGCCATCTAGCTAGCTAGCTATCATACATTGGTGCACACAACCAAGGTCTGGGGAATGGCAATGCCATGCACTTGCAATAATGCATCCCACCCCTGCTACAGTGACCGATCAGCTTCACTAATCTCTTTTCTTCTAAGATGTATGTTCAGCACGGTGCTCCTCTAGCTAGAGAGATCCTTCATTTCTTCTGGAGCAGAAATAGCCAAAATAAAGAGAGAAATGGAGAGAAACAGTAAGAGGTAGGGGTAAAAGGAAGAAATAAGAGAAAGACTACCTAGAGACCTTCTCTGCTTCCTGCAGGAAACAAAGGATAGAGCTTTTAAAAGGTAAATCCATTAGTTTTCAGCATTATCCTTGCTGCCCTTATTTGCTAGGCCAGAGAAGTCTCAGGCTCTGCTCACTACAAGCTGGTTGCAACTCTTTCACAGGTAATCAGATCTGCCTGACTAGTTTAAGTAAGTTCTAACTCCCAGGAGAGATCAGTGGTGTGGTGAAATTGTAACAGAAAAATAATTACCGTCTTTTCAGAAATCTCCTTTACGTATGAAAGTATAACAAGTTGGTCACAGAGAGGTGCAAGCCCACTGATATAGAACTCTGTATCAAACTGGAAAACTGAAACACAGGAATGGAAACAGAAAGAATTATTAAGCAAATCATTATTATTAAATTATTAAGCAAATAAATGTATGAACTGCTTCCTAAGAAAAACACACAGCTTATTTTGAGGGAGCAACCAACAACACAGAGTATCAGTTCAGAGAAAAGTAGACTCAATGCATACAGCAAACCTACAGACTTCCCAGTTGGATCAGCAAGATGATGAAAAATTACATTTAACAGATTCAATTCCATTAAGACTTGCAAGAAGAAATGTTTGTGCTCCAGGACATGCTAGAGATGAAACATTTGAAATGAATGGTCAGCTAGACTTCCAGTAATCACACTGGAGAGGAAAAAAAGAAAAAAAAAAAAGGAAAAAAGCCAAGCTCAGTAAAATAGGTAGTGTACAAAAGATCTCTGTAGGTTTGCATATTTACAGAAAGTCGTGTAACCGTAAGACGATCACACCTGATACATCTATTGGTGTGATATATGAAAACACAAAGGTCATTATTAATTCATTATCAGAAGATTTACAGATACACTCATCACTAAGAAAAGATACAGTTAAATAGAGGCTTTTCTTATCCTTGAAACTGAAAATATGATTTCCCAAACTGTTTTGTTTTCACGACCAATTTAAGTGTTGACTATTTTGAGGAATAAAAAAAAAAGAGAGCTGAACTTATAAAAGAGCTCATTGTAGCTGAGCTCTTAGGCAGAAAGAATTATTTAGCTTTTTACTCCTGGGTGTACAGTACAGGCATTAAACATCTGCAGACCTTAGTGCTTGTATTAGCAAATTAATTTTTGTTAAACAGAATATATTAGATCCATCATAATTTTCTCTCAAGACAGTTTCAGGAAAATATAAGTAGAAAATAAATGTTTCCCTCTTTCCAGTCAGCAAGCTACACTACCACTATCTTCTGTTCACTGAAATAGGTAATTATTTCAGTAAAGCAAATAGAAAATGCAGCATAAATATAATTTGCTTTAGCCAAGGCAATACGAAGAAACAGGATAAATAATTGTCCTCCTGATATAAGAGGAAAAAAAATACTGCCAAATAAAATACGTATTTGACATCTGTCTCTCACTGAATAAGCAAATGCTGTTTTTCTCTTAATGATGGCTGACACTTTGACATCACTGGGAGGCCAAAGCATGGCACAAGGGTAAAACAATCTATTCTAGCAGAGAACAGGTTCACACTGGTAGTCCTGTATGTCATTATTTTGTTCTATACTGCAAGAGTGATGAGATTACTTGGATTGTGTCATACGTTGCTTTGAGCGATGACTTTAAAAACAACCATGTTAATAATGTCTACGTAATAAATCTTATTCCCAGCTTATAATTTAGTATTTGGCATTTTAGGAGAATGTGGAAGACAGGAGCAAGTGCATGGAGAAGAAAAAAAGTAACATCTAGAGCACAGGGTAGAAGGACAGCAAAGAAACTTTTGTTGACAGCTTAAAAAGTGACAAGCGAAGGCTCTCGGAGGCATATGAAATGCTGTCATATGAATTTGGAAAGGAAAGCAGAGTGATGAATGGTATCTTTATAAAGATTACGGGGACAGTTTTGAAAAATCACATGTGTTTGGCCTACACTGGGGCTTCATTTCCTTAGTCAGTGAGGTACTCCTAAAGTAGTTTGTAATACCCACGGAATCTAGTTTGGATAAGGCAATACTGCTGTTCAGAAAAGATATACAAGGAAATCTCTGTGAGATTTGTTTCTAAATAGAGTTCAGCTCCCTCGGTTTCACTTCCAGCCTTCTCTCAGCTCTTCTTCCTCAAGAGACCTTGTGGAAACACAACGCTCCAGCACAGCTGTGACAGCCTTGAACAAAGGGTGCCTGGCACAGGCTGCGCTCTATGACCTGACAGAAGCCTTTGATACAGATCATCAGGAAAAGTTTTACTGAAGAACTGCGACAGTTATTAGAGCTCAGAGCACCATGAGGTTAATCTGACTTATCTCCACAGTTTCTCCTGATCAAGGGGGAAAAAATCCTACAAGGAGGTATTCCAGAAGTGCTGTTAATTTGAAAAGGATCCAAAACAATTAAACCAAACACAGCACCAAAGTAAATAGGAATGACCATAGTATGACCGCGTGTCACACATGTTTATGCCTATCATACAAGCGGATGGAAGATGTGTTGACAGTGCATCTACTTTATGTTCATCATCTACGTACAGCTGTCAGACAAATTACCAAGGAAGCAGAGATGAAACCTGTAAATCATCTTGTTCATTACGCGAAATAGACGAAACATACCACATCAATAAAACAGCATACATTACATTATTTACCCAAACTCTATAAAAACAACTTTCCCACAGGCAGTGCACTGACTTTTGTTTATTTTTAAAGCCTGTTTTGCTTAATAAAATCTCGAAAAATAGTGCACTGCAAATTTAATATGTGCAACTGTGTTTACAGTGATAACACTGTGCTGACATTGATTTCACTGAGGCCAAGATTTTGACATTAATTTCGGGAAAGTGGGCAGGAAGGTGCAGAGAACAAATGTGAAACTTAATAGATGAAAAGAAGCCTTTTTCTTGATACTTTCTGGTTTTTAATTCTATATGGTGCACAAAAGAAATGGAGAGGCACTCAGGGTAGTTTTTAGTTAGCTCATACATATATCAACAGCAGGGGAGCCATGAAGCAAGGTGACCCTGGCCAGCCCAGAGCATTCTGGTGCACTGCTAGCTGCTGGGGCGATGTCTCTACCTTTTCACTATCTATGTAGGGAACACCTATAAAATCAGCAGAATAGCATCCCCTGAAGTGCTCTCAAGATGGCATCTCCAGTACCAGTGCTTTGCTAAGTTAATTATGTAAAACAAAATGTTGTAGAAAACAGTGTGCTTTGATTAGTTATTAACCAGGTTCAGGAAGTTGTGTTTGATATAAAACATGCTTTTTGCCCCATATATGCTCTCAGTGCCAGCTAGAGGACCACAAAAGGCTTTTGTCCTACATAAGTACCACTTAAAGTGTTTTGAGATGGATATAAGCAAATCACAAAGCACACACACACGTATACATAGTTTACTTTAAGAGAAGTTAACAATACTTTCAAACGTACCATCCAAGATAAGCCTTGAAGAAAATATAAATCTCAATTTTTCTAACACTGACATCTTCCTTTGAAAATCTTTATATACGAACACCTGCCTCAGCATTTAAGTATTTTCATACTTACAAATTGTTCCTATCTCCCATTTTAAACTCCACAAAGGTCTTCATAAATTCAAATTCCCAGGGCAGAGCTTCCTTCTGACTAGGAATCTGAGCAGAAAGCTCAAGATGTGCTCAGTTAGAGAAATGTCAACTGCAACACAAAAGGAACTGGAAATTTCTGAGGAGGCCCACTGAAGTAACCCACTTGAGCGTAGTTTATTTGTGCTTGAGCATCCTTACAACTCTTTGCAGTTCTCTCCTTCATACTATACATGAAAATTAAGCAACTCTACTTAGTTACGTACACATTGTGATAGCATTTTTACCCACTGTTTCCTTCAATTCCAGTAGGAAGAGCAATAAGGTAAGACTCAAATAGATCCCTATATATTACTGATTAGGAAAACAGAATTTATTTCATGCTTCTGAAATCAGAATTCATAACCTCTGTATTTACTTACTAAGAAAATGGTTGGAAAAGTCATCTTCAGATTTATTTCTGTTTGAATGCTGAGAGTTTAGAAAGGCTCTTAGAGAGTATTGAACAATGATCTGTCAATCATTCCTAATATAACCTCAAATGCTGCACAGCAGATGATGAGCATTTCCAATGAAATAAAGCAGTCTGTTATCTTAATACTGTTAATTCAACATGATTGCAGGAAAAACAAAAAGTTTTAAAGCTTCCCAGCTAATTTTCTGTAAAATCCCCTAAAATCTGATCAACCAACAGGGCAAATATCCAGAAGTCTTAGTCTGGGGTAATTTTTGTTAAGGAATTTATGGATGATTTACTTGTCTTGTGACAGAACACGATGAACAGAAGTCTGGTACACAGGTACACAGATGGGGATTTCTCTTTTTTCTTTTTTTGGCCATTTCCTTTTCCTAAAGTAGACTTGCTGCAATTAAATAGTTGCGTAAATTAGCTTAAAGATGATGACATTTATTCACTTTTAATTCATTGCTCACTATATTCATTAGGAAGCTTTAAGTTCTCTTTTTGTGAAGAAAAATACACTGCTACAGCAGATCACATTATCTCGCTTTACGAAGCAAAAAATAAATAGCCCCGCATTTTCTTTCAGCTAAAAACATGGTGTTCTCAGTACTCGGTGATAGCTTTCTATGTGGTGATACAGCTACCCCTCCTCAAAACACAAGGATGTATTGTTACATCATATCCACACGCTATTCTTATACCAGAAGTTTGCTTTGTGGGGAAAGTGGGGGAATGCCCAGGGGAAAGAAATGCTGGAGGCATTGCTGGCAGGCTGGCACCTGGAATTAAGCAGAGATTCCTCAACTAAAATCTAGGCTAAAATGAATGGAATGAGAAATCTCTAATCAACTTCCAGTCTTTTACTGCCTTCCACGTTAAATACTTCATGAGCTACTCGACTAGACCACTGGAAGATTATTTCCCGCTATTACCCAATTCCACTTTGCCAAGGCACTGCATTAAGTGCAAAGTGCTAATTAGTTCCTTAGCAAGCAGCCTACTAGCCGACCACAGTTGAGGAAGGGCTGCCAGTTCAGAAGCTGTCTAGCATTACAGCTTTTGTACACGTATCAGAAGTGAGCACCGGGGTCAAGCGCTCTTTGAGAAGAATCACAATGGCATTTAGTCCACGTTAAGCCTGTAATTCAATACCGATACTTTCTAATCAATACACTGCTGCACCGTGGTAGCAGGCAGCTATAAACTGATAGGATCTGCACAGCTAACATACATTTAAACCTAAATAGAAACACTCTGCTTGAGTTTATCTTCGACAGTGAATGAAGTCTCTTGTACACAACGAAGCGTGACGTGTAACCACAAACAGGAATGATTAACGAAGAAAAGCACATTAATATACTGAAAGATGTAAATAAAATTAGTGATGTCGAGCAGATCTTACTGCATGAGAACAATACATTCTGTGATACCTCTTCTGCACGTAGCCACAGCATTGTCTTCTTTGAAATACAACAGCCAAAACAGTTCAGTGGTGTTACCTTCCTACAACACAGGCCACCTGGTTTAGGATCAAGGTAGATATACCATATTTATTTCCTTCCACACATCAAGCATGACTGTGCACCAAGGTAAAATCCTTGGTGCACAGGATCCTATGTACCTAACTTACATGGCAGGAATTGCTTTGCTTCCTGGGATGCAAGCCATTGGAAAAACATCTACTGTCTACTCATGCCACCATAGTTTGCTATGATGTTGTAGAACTTCGAGGCCCCTCTGAATAGCTCTAAAAAAACAAATCTGAACTGCTGAGATATGGAGCCTATGACAATACAGTGTTTTCTCACATGTATTATCCTGATGAGACGATGCCATAAAAGCTATAAGCCAAAAGAATATCTCAAGGATATTAAGCTATCACTGGACTATATTCTTGTTTTGTGTAAATTCTTTACATTACAGGAGTATATCAACAAATGCATCCATTTAGAATATGGATTTTCTTGCCAAAAAACATATTGGTTGCTGGTCAGTCTGCCCATTAATAACACCAATTTGCCAGCTATGCGCCTGAAAAGTAAAGTTTAAACTACAATTAAATCGAAATGGATGCTATGGCATGATGACACACAACTCTCAAAGACTTTCCATGTGATTAAATCAAAAGCTACTGTAATTTCTGTTCAGACTTGAACAAATAATTTCACCTTTTTTTCCCTCTCAGTCTAATATCCACATTCCAATGAGTGCTGCTGGCAGCCTTTGGCAGAGCTGTTTCAATGCTTTGACGTGAAACCAGGAAGAAAAACTTCAAGCACATCATCAACAGGTTAAGTGAGATAAAACAGCAGTCCTCAAGAATACCGAGAAGACTTCATGCTCAAGTTTGAAATATGAAAAAGTTACTTCCACAGAACTCTCTAACCTTCAGATTTGCAGCCAAACAGTTTTATGACAGCTTTTTATTGTTTTTAAAATGAAATTCCAGCAGACAGGTTAACTCCCACAACAAAGTCATACTATAAATGAAGAATACGTTCTTGTTTGCTTGTCAGTATGTAAAATCACCCTATTTAATTATTTCCTAAAAGCTACTTAGAAAAGGGACTTACAGGTACAGAATATAGAATATATAAATCTTCTATAAGAGATTGGAAGGTAAAATTCAAGACTGAATTTCTTCTTGATATAATTCTCTCAAAAATCCTGGAATCTCATGTTTAATTATTCTTTTGGGACTATATAATTTTAACCAGCAAGTAGCATTCAAATATCAGTTAATAGTCAAGCATGATTTCTTTCAGTATCTACAACTCCTACAATGTTTAACATCCATTTCCTAGTTGATTTTGAGAAGCTATTTTAAACCTCTGGCTTTTTTTTTTCTGACATCATAAAGCTGTATACATCTATGGCATGTATCTCCCTGGTCAGTATGCTGACATGAGTCAGGATTTTGTTGGAACACTCTTATTTACAATCTCATCTCACTGCAGTCAAGACAAGGAAGCACAAAACTCCATAGTTGTTCTCTCTGGACTATGGAGTCCCTGTTTATCTTGTCAGTGTTACCTCTTCATAGACCTTTCCTTACCAAAAGCTTCCTCTGAGAACAGTTGAGCTTTTGTTTACCACTCCCCACCAACCACTGTCAAATTTCATCTGAATTCCCCTTTGTGCTTTACTTCATACACACATGCTGTCAACACCACTTCCATTAATCAGCAATAATGAAATTATTTACATCACCTACAGAAATAGGAAAGCAAAGAGCAAAAAAAGGGAACAAAAAGAAATTCCAATCAATTTTCTAGAGCTATTCTAAACCCAGAATAAGCAGAGCAGTTTAACAATAAATAATTAACTAAGGTAGTGCCTGTTTATTCCTTATTAGTGTACTGATCATCATTTAAGAAAGACAACAGGCCAAAATCTCTGTAAAAATCTGCATGAAAGACAAGTTAGGACACCCACTTTTCCCCCACACAACAGTCTGATTGTAGAAGAGCACAAATTTAAGAGTCTCAGCTTGCAAAAAACTACGCAGGACATCGTAACAACCTCATCAGGCAAAAGTGAGGAGACATTTACGTTATGACTACAAGTTGCTTCTGAACTGCAACAACTTTTCCAGGCTCAATGTTAAAACAGACCTCTCAAAGCTTATCTAATTCCAAGAAGGCACACATTCATACCATCATACCTATTTCCACATAGCGGTTTGGAAGGTCACGCATTTCACTGGCATGCCGCTCCTTCACTGAGCAAATCTAGGGAAGAGATATTTGGATCATTATGATGAGCAAACTGTGATTCTTAAAATGATGCTAACTTTTCCCAGAGACTCCTTTTCTCACTGTGGTGCTCTTGAAGCTGCACTTCTGGACTTTGAAAAACACAGGCAGCAAAACGGTGATGACGAATCACTGAGGAAGAAAACCCAAAAGGAAATTTCTGATCCTAGCCCTCAGCCTTATACATAGGGTGAGAGAGAAGAAGGCAGACGGACCACCACAGACATCTGGAAGCATCTTCTCACTGTGATTTCTCCACAGTAGCATGTGGGAGTTTGATTTTGGTATCTTCTCATGCTTACTGTCTCATCACCTCGCTATTTCAGTAAGCATATGCTACTGCAACTCCGAGCAACAGGAGAGTACATACATATAAAGAAATGAAAATACACAAATGTCAGGAAGCACACACAAAACAATGGAACGTCAGGTGCCAAACTTAGGACAAACTTCTTCATCTGTAAAATTTTAAGCTTAATGCTCCAAAAGCTTTTTATGCTTCACCTACTTTACTGTACTTTCCCACCAAGTGCTTTTAATTTCCCACTGTGCAATGACGTAGCAAGCTGTTGTAAGAAAACATCTACCGGGCTCTAACAAACTCCTTTCAGCTACTGGTCTGCACAAATCACAGACAGCTTGTAGTACGTATGTTCAAAATGCCAGTTCCCTAGTGAAAGCAAAGCAAAACTCTAAGCAGCCAGCCCTCTATCCCCCCTCCTCTTTTTTTTTTTTTACCCCACAGTTGGCTCAAAATACGTGTCTTCCTTTAGCAGTCAAAGTCCTCAGACCCTAAAGTTCCTCCAAAAATAACTCACGCTAAGTTGTTCTTCCTTAATGCTAATGAAAAGAAATGAATTCAAAAGCCCCTCTGAAAGCTTTCAAAGGAGGAAATCTCTCGAAGGCACAGAGAAGTGTCCCTGAGGATTATACTCGCTGCATGCTCACACACAGAAATCTGTCTGACCGCTGGGTGTCTATCACTCCTCCTCCTCATGAGGGTCAGTCCAATGACATTTCTATGGCAGCAGGAGTTCTGCAGACTGCAGTCAAACCAAACTCTATTTTTTTCGATTGTCTTTGCTTTTCAGAAATAATCCTCTGTTTGTCTGTGATAACAGCAAGCATTTATTACAAAGACAGGTAATTGCACCTTTACTGAATTTCCCCAGCCAATAATCAGTGTTAAATTATCCTTCCAGCAAAGGCTACAGGGATACATGTCTGGGCGAAGGCTTATGTCATCTCGAGGCACATTGGTAATTCTTTGCTTGGAGATCATGTCAAGTATCTTCACGCCCTGAAAGTTTAAACAGAAGAGGACTTTATTCAGCATGACAAACTCCTAACCACCAGAGCCCATACGATTTTGCACTGTTTGACAGCCGTAGCAGTTTTTATAAGTTGCAGGGTACAGATGAAAACGCCAACACAAAAAGCTGTTGATACAAAGACCAACCTAGCCCAGGATGTAACAGGAGAAATGGTAAGATCAGAATAAACTGACACTTGAACTTTACACGTCAAATAAAAAGACGTAAAGAATGAATGAGGAGCAGATTAGCAGCTCAAGTCATGAACCATTCCAGATTGTTTGGGCTGGTGCTATTACTTGAAGAAACAAAAGCATCCCATGCGCTTCCATAACACTCCTCATAGGGAAACCAAAATTTTCATCTCAGAAAAAAAGAAAAGATGTGAAGCAACAACTCATTAATACAAATGACATCAATCTCTACTTCTCTAAAAATGCATTTATACTCTTACGCTGAAAGGGAAAAACAAGCATATTTAAATGATGTTTGGTTTGATTTTTCACTGCCTCCTCAGGAAATATCCCAAACTAGCAGAACAAAAAGTTTAAAGAAAGGAAGATTAAAGTCATTTTAGAAGGAGAGAGAGCACTGAAGAGCTATTAATCAGATTTTTCCATACCATTTAGAAAAGGCGAGCTATAACCTTTCCACTAGCAAAATAGAGATTAATTCACATTAAGTAATAACTTGCTTCTTTGTGATTTAATAGCAAATGTTGCAAGAAAAAAAACACAAAACAAAACCAAAGCATTTTAGCAGATATTTCCCTTAAGCTCAGTGAACAGAAAAACAAGTCTTATGATCACAGAAAAGGGGATGGAAGGAACCTTGAAAGGTCAGCATCCAGGGTGCCATTCCATGTTAGAATTTTTCTAGTGACAAAACTGATTTAAAAGATTCCCCTGCCTGTTTCTGTTCCCCCTGACTGCAGGTTTCTGTGTCCCCAGCTGCACCAGTTCAAGTGTCTGTAAGTCAAAGAATCTCAATATGAGGGTCATGGCATACGCCACGTTTTGTCTCCCTAACCCTCACCTCCCCTTTTTGTTTTTTCAAACTTAAATTGCAGGAAGCAGTAAGTGGTACAGAAGGGAACAGAAACACTCCTACTGGCATCTCTTAGGCTAAAAGTCATCAAACGTTAAAATTAAAAAAAAAAAACCAACCCAGCAAAGCAACAAAAGCCAACCAACAAACAAAACACACATAAACAAAACAAGAACAAAAACTACGTAACAATTTCTGCAGAGAACAAATCTCTGGGTAACACAGAGAAGGATCTCATTCTTCATGTTTTCTAAGCTCATTTTATAAAATCTGCAATCTTGCTTGAACTGTTTTTTAATAAATCTGCCTTTTATTAATCTCATCACTTTGTCTTCCAGGATTATTTTCAAACAAGTGACCCATATCACATCTGTTTTTCTACAAGGCAAATAAATCCTACACAGGGTAGACTAACTTAATTTAAAGTGCCTCTCAAGTCAGCAGGATAGAATCCTCTATAGATAAACATGCCACTTGCACTGTAACTGAAAGGACTTCCTAAGTCAATTTCCTATCATGATGGAAACAAATGCCTGTTTCTGAGGGAGTGAGGCATGCAAAGGGTTTTGTTTTCAGGTGTCTGTCTGTAGAACTTACACTCTTGGTCATGGAGGAAGAGGAGGGCACAGTGGCAAGCATGTTATGTGAACACTTGAAAACAGAAATTAGACCTTGCCACAATAACCTGAAGCCCATCTCAAAATACCCGATGTCTCACAAGCTCACACGCAGTGTGTAATAAAATAATAATAATAATAAAAAAAAAAGCACAAGAAAATAATAACTGGAGAAAAAGTAAGCAGCTTGGCTATATGGGATTTTCTCTAGTTTGGAAAGGAAAAAAGGAACAAAAACCTCACTACAGGATGGAGAAAATTTTAAAAAGGTAAAGGGGGAAGGGAAAAGGCCAATAACCAAATATATTAATCTTTTGGAGGGCAAGTGTCATTTCATTTTTCATTGAAAGATAGGCCCTGACCATGGCTTTTTGTCTCTGACAGATGGCTCTCAACATTTTATTAGTGTGCTGTGTTCTGATGTGGCACATCATCTCTAGGGATAGCTCTCCTCAACTGTCCTATCTATTCCCTGCAGATTCACCCAGAATATATATTTTAATTGTATGGCTCTGAAAAGAACAAAACCTTTCAGTCATAACCTATTGCTGTAACAATCAAGCACTTGCTTAAGTTGCAGTCATTAAAGGAAGCAACTAAACAAAAAGTCTACCTTTAACAACTTCATACCAAACTGCTTTTTAAAAAGAATAAAAGAACAACAGCTTTAAAATATTTTAATGAATGCTTCCTTCAGTAGGGAAAAAAGAAGAAGAAAGAAAATAAACGTTTTCACAAGAACCCACGTCACATTTCAAAACAAAAATTTGGAATTTAGACATGATACTTTACTTAAAATCTCTCACTGCTGAGCTTTGAAACACAGACCTTGACCCATCAATTACATATACAGTGTTAGGTGAAATGCAACACTCAGCATGAAAGCAATGTTTCCCTTTAAACCATGAATTGCTCTCTGAGCAAAAAGGGCCCATTTTCTCTTAAGTCTAGCCTTTTGAGTAGTCTAACAGAATTTTTTGCATCTGCAACATTAGCAATACATATTATGTTGTCAGTTCAGTACGAATTTGAAAACTTAAAGAGTTTTGCAGGGGGGAGGGATGAAAAGGGGGAATATACTTTTAATAAAGAAGAGTTCACACTGGCATTATTTCTTCAATAGTTTGCTCCACTGAAACCTTTCAATAACAGTGTAATGCAGAGGTGTTTTTGCTCTTTTAAGAGAGGTGGCAAACACTTACCATGTTATTGGCCCAAGCAATTAAGTGTCCTCTCCATTTTACATTCCTTATGTTTCCTTCCCCTTCATGTAAAACGGAAGGCTTCCATCTATTCATCCAGCCTCTCTCATACAGCAGTAACTACAAAGAAGAGCATCAAGAAATATTTCTGTGACACAGTGCTGCATGCAAACAAAGGAAGTGGGCTTTTGTTTCCTTATCTCTTACTCTGCTTGAATTTAATGGCAAGGAGAAATACATACCTACCATGAAAGAGAATGCAATCAGATGTTTTCATGAAGTACATTAACAATGAGAATCTTACATACCACAGAAATCAAGTTACTTTCATAGCAATATTAATCAGCAGCCCTCCTATCAAGCTTCTTCCAAAGAATGGTAAGTATGATTATTTCTATTTTAAAGATAAAGCAACAAAGGCATGTGAGCACTTAAGCACTTGTGGCAGCACTTAAGAAAGGTGGAAAGAAACCAGGCTGTCTCACAGCTATCCACTGATCAGGCGACAGGCTCTTCCTTTCCTCCAAAAAGCAGAAGACGGTAAGAAAGCATCCCTTGTAGTCAAAATGATCAAAGACCTCCAAGCCTACAGCCTTGTGCTTGGCCCCATGTGGGACCACATACAGCTCTCAACAGGACTCGAGAAGAGATGCTGCACCATCCCAGACATGCAAACCACGCTGCAGAATCAGCACTGCTGAAGGTGTGACTGGGTATATCAGGCTCTGCAAATAAAGAAGGAATTCGTCGTGTCTAGAAGCACGGAGTATTTTTTTTCTAATACTTTGTAGAGCAAAGAAAAACACTGCTACATTCCCACAGTCTGCCTGGCAGTTTAACTACTGCCCAGTTTCTGTGTGATTTCAGGAAGTTATTCATTAAGATCGTAACACGGAAGCACTTAAGGCAATGCAAAGCTCAGTGCTTGCAGGGACAAATAAGGGAGGTACCAATGTGGACCACTTTTGCCTCAGTACAAACACAGGCAAAACCTGAACCCTGTCTGACAAAGTGCAGGAGGACCATTAAGAAGTGTAAAATTGCAACCTCATGGATCTAATAAGTTACTACTGCTGGTATTTAAGATCCAGATGTACATGCTTGCTGTGCAAGGCTTTTCTGTGCCACCCCTATTTGCAGAAATAAGCCAAATGATAAGACAACATTAGCTTAAAATAACGTATTCTTAATTTTTTTTTTTTTTGAGGTAATTACACAGACTGCTTATCTCTCCTACAGCCACAAGATGGCACCACAATACAAATATTTTCTCCGAAAGTTTAACGCAGTCACTATGCAGGATGTTCCTCAAACTTTCAAAGGAACATCGCTGACATCAAGCTTCTCACCTGAGCACCAAGAGGGCTCTCACTTAGAGCCCTCCTGAAATGACCCAGTGCCTGACCCACAGCCCACATGAAGCACCCTGCCTCAGAGAGTCTCCATCCATCAAAAGGCCAGGCAACAAAACTCTCACGGAACATGTTACTTTATAGCAACTACAGTAAAAGCATTGTACCAGGATAACATCTATGCTCATAAGGCTGTGACATGCAGAGGAGTGTGCCTGAGCCATCTGGTAGGTAGACACGAACCAGGAGCATTACTCAGTTGAAATGAATTAGCTGCTATTAGAAGCTGAGGATGTTACTTACATTTTTAGGTGTCCTGCTGATTCCTTTTCTAGTTCACAAGCTCCCAATGAAAAAGAATAGCCACCCAGGTGCTGCTTTCAATACAGTCCATAAAAGGACTTACTGGACATGGATGCAAAAACTGACGTGGATGATGTGAGGTAAAAATGGCTGATACTGGTTACCTGAAGTTTGTTATGATAATGACTGATCTGTGATTTAACTTAACCTGCTGCTAACTGAACCAGCTGTTTCATGGAATGATGTTTTCTAGTTATTTCGCTACTTTTCATGGCTTGTGAACACCATGCTTTTTCATGCCTCTCTACCCAAGTAAAAGCTGTAAGAAAATAATTCACCTGTTGTAAGGAGAAAAGAAAAATGAAATCCTGCTTCAGCCTGTGCTTAACTCTACACCTACTTAATGAAATGCCCAAAAGAAGGGCTGTAGAAGACTTCAGCTTGATACTTACTTGTAAAAAACAGAAAGTGAAACTGAATCACTGCAGCACCCCAAACTCCCCATTTCACCTCAGGAAGTGCAATAGATGCAACACTGAAGCTAGCAGACACTCAACAGAATGGCTTCAAAACAAAAATATTTTCATCTCAAAATGTGCTTTACTACTGTATCTGCAATGGAATTACATCCACTTTACTGATAATGTGTTTTATTTATTATTTCTTACAACAACTACACCCAAATCCTGAGATACTGAACACACAACTTTTGTGATTTTTAACTACTATCCACTGAATACTGCTCTTTCAAAATAAGCAGCCTAATTTATTTCTTGGTCCTCCTTTCCATCTTCGTAATGAAATATTCATTACACCAGAAAGGCATTTAAAGCTTCAGTAGCAGCTAGACACATAAGAATTCCCCACCATTCCTGAAGGGGTTCCTCCAAGTACCTCCTTTCCTTCTTTCGTAGGGGAAAAATATTTTAGGGCTTTATTTCTCATAAATCCCATATTTTGGCAGTCAGCGTTCACAGTACTTATATTTCAACAGCAGACACAAAATCACTTTCTTGCATTCTCTGCAATAGAGTTTATACTTTCCTTTTTTTGATTTGCCCCGGTAAATCTTCCTAGCTCTTTGTTACAATACAGTAGTGCTTAGAATGCACTTCCAGCATCTCTCACATGTACTGCAACATGGTAACACAGCTACAACAAAAGAAAATGAACTTTGTAAGGGCGCCCATCCACATTCCTTCAAAGGCAGTGAAATTTCCTTATAGCTCGCTCCCAATTATTTTACAGGCCTTCTTAACTGCTTCTGCTTGTCTCCTGGATCGCTGGGAAAAAAGACCCATTGAAATGTGTGAGGGGAGGAGTGTGCAGGACACTTTTTGCTTCTGAGTTAAAATAATTCTCTTGGATTAGTGAATACATCTCTCCATATCTTTCACTACCAGGAGATTAAACTCCTCTGAGAGCATAACATTCTATTTGCAGAGTGCATCCACTAAAGAGAATAGTGCTTGAATTTAATGGAGCTTATCATGCAATTAGCATTAACACTAATTGCATGTAATCCCAGCCTTTAAACTGTGTATAGGAATTCTCTGAATACAGAGACCGATGACTGCAGCTTCGGTGGTATCAACACACAGACATAACTCAGTTTAATTTCACCTCTCTTCTCCACACAATTACTTTGTTTCAAAACAGTGTCTTTGCTGTAAAGATCTGGAGGACTTTCACTGATGCCAAAGGCTGAGATTTCAATTTGTAACTGAAGAGCCACCCTTCCTTTCCCTATGGCAGCACGGCAGCACTGTTGGATTAGTTTTCACATTCAGTGAAGTAATACTAGGAGAAATATTTTCTTTATCTTGTTCTCTGTTTGCCCAGGTGTGAAGATGTACCTACCCATGGCTATTCTCTGTATTTTGGCACCCGTCCTATCAACTCATTTCTCAGCCAGGCCAGATCACAAAAACCTAAGATGCTACTGCCATATTTACAACTTATCACGATAGATTTTTATTGTTCTAAGCATAAAAACAACATTTACAGGCACAGACCAGATTAACAGATACCTGAGGGTAACACAGACCAGTGTGCCACATGAAGACGTACTGTTTAATCATGCATCCCTAGGAAAATGCATAGCAACAATAAAATATTATCACTCCTGTGTGGAGCAGCAATGGACCAATGGACTTGAAGGAAAGCAAGCATGGAGGCAGCCAACAGTGCTGGAAGAGAAGCAATGGCAGTGGGACATGCAGCAGCTACTGCCCTGTAGTCCATGGGCTATGTACTGCAAGACGAAAAGCTAGAAATCGTGAAGCTTTTCATGCAAACAAATGCCACAGGAGTTTTATGAGGCTATACCTTTAATGACTCAGCTGCTAGGTTCCAGCTGCCACCTATTCACAAACAGCTACAGAATTAACACCTTTGAAAGCAAGTCCAGCAGGCTTGCAGACAGAAGCACAAGCTCTCACACATTCCATGTGTTTCGATCCTCTTTGCTTGCCACCTCAGGCAGTGAAACAAGTTTTCTACACGGAATTTAGTAAAACACAAAACACGCATGCAGGCCTACAATCCATTCTCTCTTCACGCAAACCAAATTTGTGCATTACAGCACATGATGAACATATTTTTTCCTTCTTTATTATGAAAACCAAACCTCATTTGAACACAACCAATAAAGCTCCTTATTAAGAAAATAAGAGATGTTAACCTCCCTGTTGAAGTCCAGTCTGTTGAATAATACAGGATACATCTGGGCACCATTCATTACTGCACACAAATGTCAGACCTGCCCTGTTGTGGCTAGCTTCCTTGCTGCTACAGCTTGCTCCGTGTTTATGGTAAATTATCCAATGCATGGGCAGAAACTGCCATAGTATTTACTCCTTCACTTTAAGCAGACCTTTGACTATTTACTGACTGACATTTTATAGCTTACAAAGCAATCTGCCTTTCTTGTCTGCCGCTCTTCTACCCAACATAATGCCAAACAGCTGACTATCTGCTTTCTAAAAATGGACTGTGCTGCAAACAGCATCCTGACAATTTAATAATTTGTCAAAGTAGTCCAACCAGTTATTATGAAGTACATATCATAGGGTTCAGAGGTAAAGGTCACTTACTTACTCATGAAGCAAAGTGCATCTGCTGACACTAAAAAGCAGACAATTAAACAAAAAATCAGAGACATTCCCTGCCAGGCTTGACTTTTAACATACAAAATCCACCACCCTCAACAGCAGTTGCACAACAATGCTACTTCTCTTACTGTCTGTGCACTGTTGACAACTGCTATCCTTTTTCTGTGTACAATGTTGCTCCATTGGGAATGGAAAGGAATTCAGGTTGTCTTGCTTTGTGTCTCAGACAGGAGATGCAGTGGGTCCTGCTCAAGCTTCCAATATTGAAATCATATTTTCAAGTTTTTGAAATGAGGAATTTGCTTCGGGCAACACTAAGCTCCCTCTGCTTTTGTAACAGACAAAGAAGAGTCTGATATTCAACCATGGATATCCATACGCTCAGATGCTAACTCTGAGAGGCTGAATGGGACAAAACCATTTTTAGATCAATCAGCATTTGGAAAGTAGCTCTTATAATTCATCTTCTCTAGCGACAGAAATACAGTCCATATTAAAAATTTGCCTTTAAATATTTCCATCATGTATGTTTTGTATATACATATGATGTAGCTACAGGTAAATATGTAACTGCTTGCAGTCACAGGGTAAATACTCACTTTTATCTTGGCTCTCCAGCTTAAATTGTTTTGGATTGGATACTCAAATTAATAGTTATCATGGAAAATGCATCCTTTAAGATACTGAATATCCTCCTCCCATATTGGGTCAGTAGTCGCTCGCTGAGTTGTGCTGGGTCCCCACTACTATGTTATGCTGAAATCCTCACAAATTCAGTAGAGTGACTCAATCATTCCAGGTGATTCATCCTCATAGGAACTTCACTACAAAAACCTTCTTGTCCGAGTCCTAAAGTTAATCAAAACGTGAAATAGGGACCCTCTTCAATGCCCCTGCCAAGAAGGAAACCTCCAGTTGCCCTGCTCTCCTAAGTTCTCTTTACATATGAGGCAGTAGCTGATACCTTTACTTTGGAACTGAAATATCCTTCAGTCTTCTCTCTTCGTTGGTTCTGCCTCTTTAACCCTCTGGATATAATGGACACTCAGACTCTGCAATAACCTTCATTTAGGTGATGCACTGGGAAAGATCGGCTCACTAATGGTTAAATGAAGAACACCTTGTTTTCAGCTCTACCACCCTCATTTAGTTGGCTTTTACCCTGTTATTTGTTAAGATTAGACCCTTTTTTAAAAGGTAGAAGGTTATGGCCTTCAATAGTACAGTATTTGTCTTTTCCCTTGCTTTGAAGCTCTACTGTCTGCTCCGGAAAAGAATGCTCTGTTATTTACAATATACAGTATTATTATTTCAGGGTTACCATCATCTGCCAAGCCATCACAACTGTGATGTAGTTAATTGCAGAGAAAAAGGAAGGGGAGCAAGGAAAGGCTTTTTTTTAGTATGGTGCCCATTGCTTCTCTCTGAGATCATGACAACATTTCTATAATACCTTTTTTTTTTTTTTTTAAATGCACAGATAATACAGATAACAATCATTCACTGGGGGAAAAAAAAGGGGTGTGTATGAAGAAGCTTTTCCAGCCCCAAAAGAAGCTAATGATAGTATCCCAAGCTTAAAGGAAGCTCTTTACTTTTAGAAACAAGAGCTTTAACAAGCAATTGAAATTAGTTAATTGGTTTGTAATGTAATTTAGAAGAAAAAGACGCTCTTACAAGACTCCAGCACAGGCCTAGCTAAGCAACTGTATATGGTTATATGCAAAGTGGAGTTGAAGTTCCAACAATCTGTGACAATTTAAGCAGTTACCCCAGGGAGCTCTGCTCTCAAGTCAGCTTTAAGTCAGGCTGCACTTCTAAGACACAGCGAATCTCAACACCACACAGCAGCTCACATCAATTCCTACCATCCACCCGTCTCTGGAACTGAGCAGCTGCAACACACATCCCCAAAGCAAAGTGCTTCTCTCCTGTGCTCTGTTTATTTTCTTAAAGACACTGTAGCTTACCTTGGATATTTGCAAATTGCCCTACAGCATGCCTTTGAACTAAAGGCATATCTTTTACATGTATTACATTGTTACGAAGAACAGCGTATTTCTCAAAAGAGAGAAAATTAAGGATGTAGTAACTTACAGCTCCTCACGCTCCATTCACAGAAGCACTACAATTAAGGATCCCATTGAGGCAGATGCTTGGCTATACAATTAATAAATTTAAGCAGATCTTAAAGTGCTCTCTTGACATGAGACAAAACAATATAGAACGCGGGGGGGGGTGGGTGCCATTCATGCTTTCTGTGTGCATGTGTGGTTTGGCTTCTCTGTTTTGTAAAGTGTAAACCAAAATCAGCATGAAATTTATGTTACAAAATCAAGAGCATCTTTCTTGTGTCCTGTGATACCAATGTACATAATAAAACTAGTTTGAGTAAGTGATGAAATTCCTTTCTGGCTTCTTTTGTCTGCTCTAATAATGTCAGAAAACAATGAAAAAAAAAAATATGTTCACACACATAATATCACCATCTCCCAAAGTAACAAAAAAACTAATGACAGACCCCAGAGCATCTGGACAAAGAATTCATGTACTTTACAGCATTTAACTGCATGCAGCTCAGGCAAGGAGCACAGTGTAATAATCTTAAGCAAACCTTTTCTCTTAAGATTGATAGGAGCAAGGATAGCCATGTTTGCACAGCAGCATCACAACCCCAAAGAATTGTCTTCCCAAAGCTCCACCCTCCATGCAGGTGGAGCTGTACAGGCGGAGTGCCTCTTATATGAAATAGTTGAAGTCACAGAATCCTAGAATGGCCTGGGTTGAAAAGGAGCACAGTGCTCATCCAGTTCCCCTGCTGTGTGCAGGTCACCAACCAGCAGCCCAAGCTGTCCAGAGCCACATCCAGCCTGGCCTTGAATGCCTGCAGGGATGGGGCATCCACAGCCTCCTTGGGCAACCTGTGCCAGTGCCTCACCAGCCTCTGGGTGAAAAAAATAATGGGAAGTGGTTCAGGCCCCTTTCTCTGGGTTCTTGTGGAAGAACTCCCCACTGCCTGCTGACCTTAAGCGGCTTCTCAGCTTTGTACTTCATGAGAGGTATAAAGAGCAGAGATGTTTATCCAAGCTTTTTTCTTTTCAGAAAAAAAAAAAATATCTTTGATAAATAGGTAGGTGGGATTTAACCTTCTGAATCTTCATAGAGCATTTTGTTGCTGTCATTATATAAGGTAATACGCTCCTTTTGGAGGAAAGGAGAAAAGAGAAATGGCTTCTATCACAAGGATAAAAGGTTTTATTTGTTGGTTTTATGTATCAATAAAATCAAATTACAGGTGTCAAGGGACATCTATTTCAATGCTAAATACCTTATGTTAAGATGTCAATTAAAGTTTTCCTGAGGAAGAAAGTTCCTCAGCAAAAAATGAATGCATTAAAAACAAGTATACCGTTCCCCAGAGGACAGAATATAAAACAACCTGTCAAGTAATCAAAGATAACCAAAGAGAATGTGTTAACTTCCTGATGTTTTTTTCTGTTCGGCATCAGGTGATTGCAAGCTCTTTTACCACCTGACGGAGTCCTGTTCCATTAATTCCCTGCCTCTCTCTTTCTACACCACTTTTATCATGACTAAAAAGCTTCACAAGCTGGTGGCTGACAAAGACATACACTGACTATGCATTATTTTAAGGATACCTCTAGCTCTTACCAACCTGCAAAAACTGTCAAACATGCACACTACTTACAAAAGAAAAAAAAACCCAATAGCTATTCATTGAACAATATTGAGCTGCTAATGAAAATTAAGCTGTATGAACCATGATGAGTCTGTATTTCTTACATGCTGGTAAGGCTGAGCCAGGGCATTCAGTTTGATGCATCTAAAAGTGAGGATTGTTCATCCTTAATTCATAAGAGAAGGCAAAAGAAAACTTTCATGAATTTAAGAAACTATTCCAAATCAAACTTCTCATATTTTAACTGAAAATATGCAACATGACAAAGTATACTTGTTGGACCTGGAAATATCTGTATTCTGAAGGTCAAAATTGCAGCCTGGACCAATGAAATACCATGATGGACACATAAAAATAGCAAACTGTCCAGATAGGAGACTTTAATTACATACATACAAATACTCTATCCAGAGATTTCCTGAGCAACTTAAAAACAAACAAACAAACAAAAAAAAAAAAAGCAAACAAAAAAACCCCACAAAAATTCTCAAACATCAACGCCAACATATATTGTAAAAAAGAGCAGTATTAAAGTTTAATTTCTGCTCCCAAACCATGTAAAAATGAAAACACTGCCCTAGGAAATGCAAATAGCTGGGTTTTTTTTCAGGCTAGAAGGACAGAAGTAGTTTTGCTTTGACACTGTACTCATTGCAACATGATTTTAACATAACAAGCGTGTTACTTTTTCCTGAAATGAATGTTAATTAAGAATGTGGTGGAATACAATGTATGAAGAGAAGGAAAAAATAGAGCAATTTTCTTTAGGTGTCATCTATCACAGATACACACTTTCTGAGCGCCTTTTAAAAGCTATTTAAAGGTAGCCTAAGTTAATTTCACCACGACTGCTTACCTTTTTTCCTCCTGTTACAAACTGCTTGAAGTGGGATCTTACAAAATGAGGATGAACAGCAACAATCTGAGTATTAACAGAGAAGAAAACATGTATTACAGCTGAAATAAGAGTTTCAGAGAGCACTGTATCAATTTTTAAAGTAGACAACCCTTTGCAAAATATCAAATATTACAGCTGAGGTTCTGAAGTAGAGATGAAATCTTTCAGACATCTTAGTTTGCTTCTCTGTCCTACTGCTTTTGCTTAGGAAAAAAAAGGAAATCCTCCATATTGTAGGGCACATGACTTGTTACATTCCTGACACGGAGGGTCACGGGCAGAACAATTACTTTTTTGCACAGCAGGTAGCAGAATGAGGACCACGTGGCATCAGATCACCACAAGCATCCCTGCAAGTGAGACTTGTTTGTGACCTTCCTAGAGGACACAGCTTGGTGTTGTCACATTGCTTAACCAACCTTTCTAGTGTACCTCACAAAGCACCAGCCTCACACTCAGACTGATCAGCTGGGTCTAGAGTGTTGAGTCAGAGAGCCAAAAAAGTGCTTTGTCTTACGTGTAAGTGTGGGCAGCAGGATAACAGGAGCCAAGTAAGTTGTATTCAACGTGTGTAAAAACTTAGTATGCTCATTTTTTTCCCCCTCCAAAAGCAGATGCAAACACAGAAGACCCTAAGCAGCAAAATGCAATAATTTGCACACGCCGCCATTTCTCCTGCAGTAAAAACATATGTTGATAAAAAAGCTTAAACCTTCTTATACACCTTCTAGAGGCATTTCTTTAAAGATCCAGCCAGCTCCACTTATTTTTCAGAAACTGAGTTCTTTCTTTAACAGATTATATCCGCATCACTACTCATTGCTCTGTCCCAGGATAGGTTTAACAGATATGAATTAGTTGCAAAATATTGACCTCTCAGTTAGTAGAACTCTCAGAATTTATACCACAGATCTACAAAGAGAGAAATATGTTGAGACAGGTAACAGCTGAAACAGGACAATTTCTCTTTCGCTTTGCCTTTTGTATTTGAAAAATTCAATAATACTTCTTACAAAACCTAGATCAGCTTTCTTCCTACCTAACCAGATCAAAAGCTTTTATATTGAGATACATAACTATTTTCTTGTGACTTGAATAACATTACACTGAAGCAGTACTCCTCTCTCATTTAGATTCAGCGTGACCTTACTGTTATTAAAGACAATACAATTACTAAAGATTAAAACAAGCACTTACTTTAATAGGACAGTCAAATGTTTCATGAAATTCTTCTGCTGAATACAATCCAAACACTTGCACCTAATTTAAAAACAAAAAAATATAACAAGGAAATGTATGTAATAACCACCTGACAGTTAAAGGTGAAAGGAAAATGATAATAAGTAGAAGATTCATGTGAATGTTAACAGCTGTATGATCTTCCTGAAGAAAAAAAAAAAAGTCATATTTAATAATGCAGAGTTAATTGAGACTTCATCAGCTACCATTACGGCTTATCGCTAAATATTTTCAGTAGTGCAAAAGTAGTTACTTTAAGTGCTTTTGTTTCCTAAACACAAATGCAGCAAAACAACTTCCTTTTGCTTTAGGCTGATCAAATCTGTTTAACAGATACTGATCTAGGTAAGGTATGAGCAAAATAATAACATTCAGGGGAAGATAAATTAAAAACTCTTCCTTTCTGAGAAGGAACTGGAAGATTTCTTTTCCCCTCCGAGCAATACGGACTTTACATAAGAAAAAAAAATTGCCACAACAAAGCAAAACGAACATGAAAACCACGTCCCATGTTTCTTGGCATCCTCTCCTCCTCCCAAGTGCATTCAGCACTACTTTGTTTCATTCCATGACCACTGGGAATGTCACTCTCTGAAGATTCCTCTCTTCTCATCTATGTTGATGCTTCAGTACATTTAATAGTCAGCAGTGGAGTTGTAACCATAGGCCATAAGACAGCTATCCAAATTAATTTATCTGAAGAAGGCTCAACACTTATAAAAAAGTATGTTTCTGCTGTCAAGAGAATTAACAGGTTTTTTTTTACTGTGGTGGTTTCTTCTCTTTATTTACATAATTGGTGCAGAGGTACAAAGTATAGGAAATTCCATTAGACTTCTTAGATGCTACGAGCCCAGAGTAGGGTTTCCTCTACTCTCTTTTGGTCTCTTGTCTCTTCATGCAATATCCCTTTCTCCTTCCCACATGAGACGGAGACATCTGAGTTCTCCCAGAGCCTAGGAGTAAAACTAGGGCTGAAGACTGATGGCCACGAGTTAGTAATTGGTCTACAAATTAGGATTTCCACAAGGAATAGCAAACGGTTTAATTTTACATTACTATTGTAAGGGGTAGGTCAGAAACCGTTGGAACAAGATCACCTCAGCAGGGAAGGAAAGGAGCACGGCAGGGAGTGGGTCTACGGAAAGCTGTATTTGACAGCACATCTATCTCAGGAGGCTCTCAGACAGGCTAGTCGCTCATCCTTACCATCTGGGAGAGATAATCCCCTCAGCCATTCTGCTCTACATGCTCAACTACAAGCTGGACTAACTCTGAGATCTACATAACCTCTTAACTGTACTGCTATCTCTCAACTCCTTGTGTTGGCAGTGGTGGGGGGACAGCTACAAAATAAAAGCAAAAATACAGATCAGAAACACTAGAGAAAGACCTGCAGAACAAAGCCAGTAAATCCCAGTAATGGGCCACAGAAATAAAGCTTAATGGCTCTATGAAAAGATCAATTCAGCTATCAGAGGACAAAAACCCAGACGGCCAAGAAGACAGAGTGAAAAATTAGAGTTTAGCTAAACAGCGAGAGGAACTAAGCTGTCCTCACTCTGGCTCCAAGTTTGGCAGTCTCAATAAAGCAAAAATACCTCACAACAAGCCCTCATCTCCCTTTCAAGCTTGTCTCTGGAACGCATTTTGTAAGCAGCATTATCAGCTCTGCCTGTGACTCATTAGTGAACACACAGACTCTAAAAACACCCACTGGAAATACTGCCACATCATCGCAGAGCTGTGGTTATGTAAGCCAACCAAAGGGCTATATTTGAGATGGGTCTAAGCCTGGAAAACCTTGTGGCTGATGTCTGCAGGATTTTGTTCTCTGGGTTTTTGTTTTGGACACTTGGCACGGTATGTCCAGTGCGACAGACTACACAAAATATGGCACAGAGGAAAGAGAAAATATGAGGGAAGAAAGGAGGAGAAAAACAAAACGCTCAAAACAAGTCTAAAAACCTCAATGAAAGCAACATTCTCAAGAACAAGAAGAAAAACAACTCTCAAATTAAAACCAATTAATCAAAATTAACAACCACTGGCAATGGTGCCTTCAGCATTGTCACAATACTGCATCAAATGTGTCAGTAAGATGTGTCTTTAAGAGTTTGAAAACAAAATGGAGCCAGTTAACTAAAGAGGAAAAAACAACTCAGCATAAAATACATGTTATCATGTTTACTCTAGGGACACCATATAACAGTTTATTACTTCTTAATGTCTTTTATTCTTCAGAGAGAAAGTGATTCTTTTGATATTACAAAGCTATATTGGATTTATCTATTTCTACTTTCCATCATCTACTTTCTCTTCATCTTCTGTTTCTAGGTAGCTGGAAAAAGTATTTCATGAGCACACTATATTTTACCAGCCCTTTCCATCTTAAATATCCAGGATCCACTATTCCAGCACACCTAGACGTAGCTGTTTTTTGCTTCCAAATATGGAAGCACCAGCTAACTTTGAGATAGTCACTCTGAGCCACTTTTTTTTTTTTTTTTTAAGTGTGGAATACAGTACTTCATGAATATTTTTGACATAATTGTTGTTACAGGCAGTAAATGTGACACTAACACATGTAAACACCTTTTCAATATACCTTATGCTGTCTTTTATGAAGTTCCAAGCCAATAAAGACACCAAATAGAAATTCCATTCTGCAAGACACAAGGGCTGCTCCAAAAATAATGTCTCCTATTTGATTACATTGGCCAATGATGTTAGAGGCAGATGTTGGTGTTATGGCAGTAGGGGTTATACCTTCCTACCAATATTCTATCACATTTTGTTGTGCAACAGATGGCAGCAGAGGGGCAGTCTGACAAAATGGCACCTGATATGGAAGTGCATCTGATGTAAAGATGTGGAACTGAATTCCTCTGCAGAAAACATGACACCCACTGACATCCATCTGTGTTTGCTGAATGTTTATGGAGACCAAATAGCAGACATAAGCACAGTAAGGTGGTGAGTGGTTTGTTTTAGCAGGGGGAGCAACGATGTGAAAGACAAGCCACATTGCAGGCAGCCATGAAGATTTTTATGAATGCAGCATGCAGGTTCTCATTCATTGCTGGCAGAAATGTATAACTAATGGTGGTGACTATGTTGAAAAACAGCACTTCGTAGCTGAGAATTCGCTCTACCCAACAGCGTTATTGTGCTCACTATATCTGTTGTAGTTTCATAATGTGACCTAACCCAGGTGTTAATATTCCTGCAGGGGAATTGGGCTAGGAGAGCTTTCAAGACCCATTTCAATCCCTGACATTCTGTGATTCTGTGGAAATAAATAGGAAGCATCACTTTCAGGGTGATCTACATATGAGAGAGCTTTAGACCCAGGTGATTCAAGGTAGTGTATAAGCAGACAAAATTCTAACATAAAAAAAATACATTTCTGCAGATGCATTTCCCCTTTTATTTTTTCCATCATCATAATTTTCCTTTTGTATTTCAGTATCTGCTCATTGTTCCCAGACAGTGGACACAGCAAAGTAGTGGGTGGTAGCTTTCACTTCTGTTCCTTTCCACGAAGGTGATGACCAGCTGCACAGAGTCCATTGGCAAGGAACATTTTCAAACATCAAAACTTTCAGTGAAGAAAAGCAGCAAGTGGCTCATTCACAGCACAGTTGTTGCTATGTATAAAATGCAGGTTTTGACAGTAAATCTAGATGCTGCCTGACAAGAGGAAGGTTAGAGAACTGCACTCTACTGCTGTGTCCCCCCTCAGTAAAAACAACTAGTCCAGATCTAGTTTGAAAGTGAAAAGAAAAAAGTAGTGAAAGAAAATGCAGGACACAGCAGAACGGGTATAAGAAGTTCTCATCACAAAGCCTTCCTTCAAGAAGACAGATAGTTTCCAACTCCCTCATGCTGGATTCATTCTGATATGGGAAAATGTACTCCCTACATAGTGCAAGAATCGTTTGCAGTGGTCCAGAGGACATAAGATCACTAATTTATATAAGATAAATATCTTAACCTAGCTAGTGCAAATGTTTTTTGGCTTTTGTTTTACTGGTTAAAACAAACAAACAAACAAACAAACAAACAGCTTCTTTCCCCCCTTTCTTTCCTCTCAAAGATTTCACAATTCCTAGTTATTATCTGATAACCTTCCAACTATTTGTATATTTAATTTCTTACAGTACACACACTGTGGTAAGAAAAGACATACAGGGCATATAAAATTACATTTTTCTTATAACCAAGAACCATCAAGTGCTACCATATCTGGCCAGGAATTTCTGCCATTTTCTTATACAGCAGCATAACATATTGATATGTTTTCACTCACTCTTTGGGTAGATTCTCTCATAGAGGCACACCTTTCTGGATCACTCTGACAGTTGTAAAACACTCACATCTCTCAAGCCTCCACTGTACAATATGGTAAAATAGCAATGCCCCTGGACTTCAAGAATACAAGTGCAATTCATATGCACTTGTGTTACTCCAATCCTTTGCAAAAACATTATCAGAGTTAGCTCTAGCATGGGAAACAAAGTTCAAATTGCCTTGTATAGCACACAACTTACTGGATCCACAACAGCCATTGCACTAGTGAAGAGAGATTCATTGCAACGTAATGGAGTTTTTCCTTTTCAAACAGACACATCACAACAGGAATAATAAATTTCCTAACATCTCTGCCTCAAACGCGTATTTCTAACATTACTGTATTAATTTAAAAAAACACAATGTTTTTATTACTGTTAACAATTACTGACCCTTCCCTTATCTCACAATCTTGTAGACAATTAGGATACTCTTGCTGTGTTTCTCACAGGTTGCAAAATCCTACAACGTACTTTGAGAGGCACTAGTATCCCAATTACTCTGTCAAGATGCTGACATTGACATCAGGGTATCTCTGAGAAACAATAGGCTTGTATACGTAAACTGGCTCTCTGCAGAAAAAAAACATTTGCTTGCAAAGGGAAAAAAAACCCTCAAGCAGATACAGCCTAAAGAGATTGTTTCCCCATTTTGCCTACTGCAAGATCCAATTTTAGTTTGAATTCATCCAACTTAAACTAAATGGGTTAGATCCATTAGGATCATCAACACTCCTCCTCCATCCAGATCAACTGTGTAAGAAATGTTCCTCTCTGGAACTCCAGCGGATATTGAGAAATTATTGAAATGATTTTTAATGCACTCCATATGTACACGAGCATTATATTCAAAAAAGAAGCTTAAAAACACCCTGTGCGTAAGAATTTTATCATTGCAAACCAACATTACAAAAGACTGCCATCGACTTAAAAACAAAAAAGACATTCTTATAAGTGGAAAATCAATCACCAAAACCACTAAATGTCACAGCTCTACATTCCAGAGAAGCACTGATAATTGTTAGTTATACACTGCACAAATGAAATATGTCCTCAGTCAAGGAAGTAGGTGCCAGTTTTTTAGGAAACTGTACATATATTGATTTTACATTTATTTAATGTGGCTGTTGTAAGACACTTTATTCTTCTGATAAACTATGATTGCTTATCAAAAGATTCTATAATTCAAGAGAAACATTCATAATGTGTGTGAAAATGAAAACCACCAGCCCACAGAATCCAATTTTGTGGATTTATAGCAGAAAGGCATTAAACCACTGTCTTGCAGGAACAGCAGACTAGTCACTGAAGTATAACTGGCACAGCAGTAATGATTAAGGTGACATGTCCTCCTGCCACAGCTGTTAATCAGCTTAATACCAGTTACATTATTGACATTCTTGTAATTACTTTTCCTACGGCACATTCGTGCAAAATATATTTGACTTTAATTTTGAGTATTCAAAGGTGAGCCCACTTCTCAAGATGGATGGTCAAAGTGGTGCTAAATGTAGCACTTAATTTCACAGGTATCACAATTACCTCCAGTTTAATACCAGAGTGCCTTTTACCTCACGTGACACATGAACAGGTTAGTCGTACCTTCCCATCTTCTGAACAAACACCCATGTGTTCTCCACTTTCATCCAGGCTGATCTGATTTATCTTCACGGGGCTCTAGAAAAGAAAAAAAACAACACAAAATTTAAAGCTACATCAGTAGTCACATGCTTTTATGTCCTCTACATTTTCTGAGATTTATGTATGAGAGGATGTACGCTACTTGTGTCAATTCAGAAAACATGGAAGACGTCTTCCTCCAACAATACCCACACATGGCCTTCTTTCAGGCCTTACGCCTAACCCAGAGACCTGACATTGTTAGCCTCACATGCCTAGAGTCCTCATGAAGGGTCAGGGTCCCAGAATTGGAGCTTCTGAGTCTGCACGCCACAGTTACTCATTAAGAATCTCTCCCGCTATCAAAACTCAGCATAAGGCATGCTGACAGAACAGGCATCAGTGCAACTGAAAATTCTGGCTTGGTCTTCCTGCAAATCTTTTCCCTGGCTTTCATTTTCGCTTCTAATAGTGTTTTCAAAAGCTAGTATTAGAAAGTATTGAAGTGCAACATGGATGTACTCAGACAAATATTGAGAAAAGCCTCAAGACTGCACCAATTTAATAAATTGTCACTTTCCCTATCCACTTAGGACATTCTTTTAAATTTGCCCTGCAGGGTTATACAGCACTCGACCGTTTACTTTAAACATCTGTCCTTAAGTACTGAGGACTGCCCTCACATTTGGGTAATACCATGCAGATCCTCTCATGCATCAAACTCCACATTCAAGTACCAAGAACTTTCTTATATACCACGATCCTGATTTCACCTTCTGTAACAAATATCATTTCAAGCATCACTGAAAGATCTTTATCCACGTCCAACCTTAACAATTCTATGTTTCTGTAAGTCAGACCCAGATATTTAAGAAAAGCTCTTAATCTCAGAAAATCTTAGAAGATTTTGAGCAGATTGCATCACGAAACAAATCACTTGTGGCATCCTGAGAATTGTAAAGGAGAAGTCCATCGTACATCTGTGCAAAAATGAACTGTCTGTCACTGGAGCAGTACCGGCGTCATGGGATCACATTAAATATTACAGTGTGTGCCTAAAATATAACAAGCCCTTATGTATGCAATGGCAGTTGGAATTACACCACTATAAAAAGTTACATTAAAACTCACTGTCCCAATGAACAGCCTTTAAAGGGTAAAACCAAGATCTTCTCACAGTCTTTGGAAAGCTTTTCCCTGTGTATCATGCACACGCAAAACATAAGTCAGGGAAAGTAAGATTTTCCTCACCTCACACTTGTAGAAAAAGAAAAAATATCAGAAAGAAAAACAACAGCATTTACCAAATTATGTTTTCAATTTCCTTCTTTCTAACCAAGGTTGAACAGCTGTGCCCTGCTCTGCAGCAGATGGCCTGACGAAATGGGAAATGGATGCTGCCAGTCCTGCAGTTTTCTGGCTTCCTCACATGCAGAAGACATCACTCAGCCCCTCACCATGTCACAGAGCTGCAACTCTGCAACTAGTTACTGCAACTGCTGCCTAACACAACATGGTCTCTTCACCACGAGCTCTCTGCCAAAAAACTCGCTGCCAAGGAAGTCATCAGAGCAACCTCCCTTGATTTATGTTCTCCAGCTGTACTTTCACCCACCGCAGGGATGAAGTGCTGACTTACTGCATTTCAAAACTACAAGAGAGCACAGCCCCAGCTGTGCAAGCAGCTGGCACATGTTCCTCCAGACGTATTTGGGGTGTCAGCTGAGGAGAATGGCTCAAGCACATCAGTCTGCTGGTGTGGTCAACACCTCCGTGATGGCTCTGATTCTCAGGTGCAACATGTACCCGATTCAAGAATGCTGAATAAGACAGGAAATGTCAGTTATCAGGCTCGCTTTCTAGAAGCTTCATAAAAATGACCAGCTCACAATTTCATTCCTGTCTTACCTTGAAAATGGTTTTCTAAATTTCTGGTTTGCTCATCAAGGTGCAAGAGGAGATTTTTTTGGTTTCTGCCAGAGAGACATAAAAAGTAAAACCCACCCATTAAACCCCAGCACATCTCCTCTCTCTGCCCTACAACGATAAACACCTCTGTCCCTCTGCAAGGAAGAGTGCAGAAAGTTCAGCAGAGCTGATCAAGTGGCATGGCTTTTGTTCTGAGAAGTATCTGAGGTGCTATTGCCACAACTTTCTCCAAAGTTCTTTTTTTGCTCTGCAATTGGAGAGGCAAAAAGTCCATCCTGAATAACATCACCCTGACATAAGGTCACGGGCTGAGTCAGTGTTCAGTCAGTCCCATTCTTCTCATCTCTCCACCACCTAAAGCCCGCCATCACTGCTTGCATGACAGCAGCAGCAGGTCTCGTAGCACTCCTACATAATGGCAAGAAAGCCCAAGACATAAAGGAAACAAAACAGACACACCAAAGAGCAAGGGCTCAGCTGTAATGTCCATACCGTTCCCACTGTGCTGGTGAATGGCTTTGATGAAGTTTGATGCTCAAAAAATGAAATGCAGGAAGTTGGCAGACTACAAGGTAGACTACGTAAGTTATCTTGGCATAAAAGGTGAAGAAGCAGAGCAAGATGACAGACCTTATCTATCACCTTGCTGTTTGGAAGCCACATAGAACACTCTGGAGATGAAATGTGTGGCTATGCTCAGGTAACTGAATGGTGCCAGGCAGGGCAAAACTGCTCCACATATACATGCAGTGTACTGTGGGTAGGGGAAAAGAACATCGTTGCAACATCTGTTTTTTTCACACTGCATTACTTCGGAATTGTTTAGTAGGAATTCATTAAGTAGAAATTCAGTATGCATGGTATTTCATGACACTACGTATAACCGGCAACTTCTTACAAGCCTTCTGCATGTGCAATGCTTTTATCAGTTGTTTCTAACCACCCCTTTCTCCACCTCTTTCCCCTGCTGTCTGCCACCGCAAACAAAAGATGTTCAGGAAAGACAAATTCAACTAAAAGCAAAGCTGCTACTTAAACACATCTCCAGCTACTTTTCATCAGAATATGCTATTCTAGATAATGTACACAAGGTAAAGCAACCTTGCAGTAATTATTTTTCTTCAGATTTCAAGTTGAATTGGCACTGTTGGCTACAAGCTTGTTAATTGACTTCGTCAGTCAGAACTTTCCACAGAGCTCAGAAAGAGATGACAGACCATGGGCTCAAATGCTGTCAAGTCTGAGTATTAAATGTGTTTTATAATAAAGTTCTAGCAAGGAGAAGTACTGGCAATGCCAGGAGCTTCTGGTTTGGCACTGAGTAACAATCAAGGCTATAATTTTCAGAATTATACTCCACTATGCTATTTAAGATATATATATATATATATAAAGCTATCTAGAAAATCAGAAATAGGAGATGGCCAATAAAATTAGCACATTATCTAAGTCCAAGGTGTTTCTTCATCTCCAGCTCATATATTCAGTTATTCTTCTAAACACATGGCTGGGCCAGCCAGATAAGCTACTTACTATTTCAAATAGTTGTATTTACATTCTATCAACAGCTCGTGGCTAATTTTGAGATTCCAGAAAAGAGAAGCACAAATAATCTGGAAGGTCCCCCCTCCTCTTTTTTTGGAATTAAAAGCTACTGCCTCAGCCACGGAGTTACAGCGGCCTTTCCCTTGTGTTTTTTTAAATCTTATCCCAGCTGTACCACTGAAGAGTTTAATTTGCCTGGCAAAAGAAAACAGGTTTGCTTTCTAAGGCACAGAGAATAAATGCCCTCCCAGACACATCTACTTATGTGTAATTTAAGAATAACAATAGCAATCTGAGGTCAAAGTGTCACTTCAAAACTTCTGCACATTTTATTCACCTAAGCATTATTCAGTGAATAAGCATGGCCTAATCTCAAATCCTATGCCATAAAAACATACGCATCTGCTTAGGAAAAGTTCAGTAATGTCTAACAATTGTTTAATTAGTACTACACTGAACAGTATTTTTTAACCTAATCGGGACCCCTTGCTTTAGTCCAATTAAGGACAAAAAACCAATACCACAAGTTCTTTTTAGTCACAATCATACTTCCAGCACTGCACAAGTAGTAGTAACACACACAGTATTTACAAAGCGACACGATTCAAGTCTGGCAATAAGAAAGACTCCATTAGTTAGGAAGGGAGATACACTGAAATGATTAACTTGAGAACAGCTGCTGAATTTCATAAAGTCTGGAACTTCTGGCAAAAGAAGAAAAGCCTTCAGCTGAATTTCCATTAGCTGCAGTTTTCTTTCCGATGGAGACATGTTTGGAATTCTGGACAACATAAGTAAGTTTGACTGTTCAAAATCAATAATGTCAAGCTGACACTACAGAACAAAAAAATGTTACCTTAATGGAAGAAAGAAAAGTTTAGGGAGAGGAAAAAACAGCCAGCAGAGATCTTGCTCGAGTAGATCTAAATATAGACTTGGGCAAAACCTTACATTTACAGCGAAGGAAAAACGAGCATCTACCAATATATATACCCCGTGTGCTAATCAATTCCCTAATTAATGTAACAATGCTTGAAATAAACACACTTGCTATGGATGACGTCAGTTCTTAAAGCAGGACTAAATTCACGGCCACTCAGAAAGCTTCTTTTAATTGTGTTCATTGAGGCAACTCCTTCTCCCCTGGCACTCATCATCAACCCACCTTATACTATCAGTCCCCCAACGGCGAACCTGAGAAATCAATCTGCTAATGCATAATTTGTAAAGCTCCTCTGACTAACAAATGGATAATTGATTCTTGCACAAATGCTGCATCCCAATGGATATGAACTGGATGAACAAGAAACGTAAGACTGGATTTCATTCCAATTCTGTGAGAAATGCAATATTTACAAGCTAGGAATCTAAACGTTTTAATAGTTGCCTGTGACTTCGTGCCTTTTAGCCATGGTTAGCAGGCTAGCAACACATGCGTTAGGAGTGTGAAAAGCAAAGTGATGTTTGATCATACTTGCAGCAAAGCTCATTTTACTTTAAGAGGTTCTGAACGCTAAGACAACCCACTTATGCAGCACTGTCATCCATTCTTCGAGAAAAAAAAAATCTTTTTCCTAAATTTT